AGACTAGAAGTAATAAGGATATAAGGATAGATGGATTTTATTATTTACTCTCGTTGTGGTCAACTTAAATAGTACTTTCTTACTAGTTACTTTACTTAATAAGATTGTTACTCGTTAGTCTATTTAATATAGATTAGTAGTTGTCGAACCATTATTACCTTCTATCTAAGCACACCACTCCACTGCATCGCCAGACAAACTCTNACGGAACACTAGCGTAATACTCGCCTACCTTAGTGCGGACCAGGACAGAGAAGTATAGATCCCAACCCCGTGTAATATAGTAGGCACGTTAAAAGCTTATATATCTTATTAAAAGTCTATTAACTTATAGCTTATTATATTATTATTCTATTCTAAGTATTATACTTAAGCTTAAGAGGCTGTTGTGCGTCTGTGCTAAATATAAGACCGCTTACTAGAAGTGCTAGATAGAGAAGACCCGCCCACCTAGCTTAAAGTAGCTTAGCCGTAATCTATCGCTGCTGACGCTGGATCTGTGGCTGAGTGGCTGAGTGGCGCTTTGCTAAGCGCTCCACTTCACCCGAAAACTGGCTTGGATTAGGAGCAGGGCTAGGTCGGAAGGCCTGGCGTATAGCTCATGTCAACGAACACACCTAGCATTGAAACCGTAACCAGCCTCTAACAATTACAGCTATCGTCCGACTTCAAGACGCAGTACAATGGATAATCATAGCTAACGTGAAAGCATTTATCCCAAAGAGCTAACCCATCGCGCCGTCCTACAGCTCTGCAGACCCGCCCCTCATCCTTCGTCCGACCCACTGCGTCCTCATACTTTTCGAGCACATCGCAACCGATACACATACCGAGTAGTAGCCGAATGTCGCTTCTAGAAAAACGCCATCGTTGCAAGCGCGTGCAAAGGTGGGAAGGGTGCGCATATTTTGGGGATACAGCTGTCGTACGGTCATACATCGAACAGCTCCTTGCATAAGCACTGCAATCATTAGGGGCGTGGCAAGGTGCTTCACTTTGATCTCTAAGGGTGATGAATAGTTTGGATCGTCGATGCTCATGAGCGCTGGTAAGGGTAGAGCAGAGGTCTAGTAGTAGCTAAGCTTAGCAAGGTACTACGCTATTCACGTCTGCGTGCCGTCATGTCATCAATAATCACCCTTCTATCTCTCCACAATGCCATCTAGTGCGGACGTTCATGGCAACCATGTGGCTAGTGCGGGTCGGCCATCCCCTCTTGCTAGCGTGATTAAGGTGTTGATCTACTTTACCAGGGCTCAAGTGGCGAATATTCACTACGATTAAGTGCTCGAAGCTTCGCTCTGGCAAATTGGAAAGCTATATATCTACATTAATCCTCAGCCCTCTCTATGCACTAGAAACAATGGAAAATATAGGTAAGAATATCATCCCTACATAAGCACTCCAAATTTGGAGCGTGAAGATATGTTAAGCTGGACATTACATATCCACACTCTTCCGGTTCCAACACCAACTACAATCGTCTCTCCTGACACTGCGGAGCATGCCGGTCGATAATCAGAGGGAAGCCATAATAGATTCTCTGAATTATATGTTATCCATACGCCATCTGCGCTTAAAGCTAAGCCTTGATATTGAGGACTCTGGAGTTCTGAATGGAAAGGCAGTGGACTTGCAACGCGTGGGGGAACGTTGATCTCGATAGTGCCAATATCCGTGTGAAGGGATGAGCTGAAGATGTCAAATGAGATGCAGTAGAGTGGCCTGCCAATACTAAGTGTCTGGAGACACTCACCACTGCTCGCATCCCAGATCTTAACGGTGTTGTCGCTTGACCCAGATGCGAGCCGCATCGAGTCGTGTGAGAAGGCGACTGACGAGACCGCACCGCTATGCCTCTCTAGCGTTAACAGGCACTCGCCATTGGTCGTATCCCAGATCTTGACGGTGTTGTCGCTTGACCCAGATGCGAGCCGCGTCGAGTCGTGTGAGAAGGCGACTGACGAGACTGCACCGCTATGCCCCTCTAGCGTTAATAGGCACTCGCTACTATTTATATCCCAGATCTTGACCGTGTTGCCTGACGTAGATGCGAGCCGCATCGAGTCGTGCGAGAAGGCTACTGACCTAACCCAATCGCTATGCCCCTCCAGCGTTAACAGGCACTCGCTATTAGTCGCATCCCAGATCTTGACGGTGTTGTCGCTTGACCCAGATGCGAGCCGCATCGAGTCGTGCGAGAAGGCGACTGACCTAATCCAACCGCTATGCCCCTGCAGTGTTGATAGGCATTCGCCACTACTTACATCCCAGATCTTAGCGGTGTTGTCGCTTGAAGCAGATGCGAGCCGCATCGAGTCGTGCGAGAAGGCGACTAAGTTAACCCAATCGCTATGCCCCTTAAGTCTCGACGGGCGCTCGCCGCTATTCGCATCCCAGATCTTGACTGTGTTGTCGCTTGACCCAGATGCGAGCCGCATCGAGTCGTGCGAGAAGGCTACTGAGCCGACCCGATAGCTATGCCCCTCCAGCGTTAACAGGCACTCGCCATTAGTCGCATCCCAGATCTTGACTGTGTTATCGCTTGACCCGGATGCGAGCCGCATCGAGTCGTGCGAGAAGGCGACTGAGAAGACTAGATCGATATCGCCCTTAAACGTCGATAGGCACTCGCCACTGCTCGCATCCCAGATCTTAATTGTGTTGTCGCTTGACCCGGATGCGAGCCGCGCCGAGTCGTGCGAGAAGGCAACTGACCTGACCCGATGGCTATGCCCCTCAAGCGTCTGTAAGCAGGCACTCCATTGATCTCCTATACTCGGCTTTATCGTAATCCTTTGTGATTCTCCTTCCTTGAAATGACTCCTTACTAAGCTGCCCGCCGGGCTGAACACAAGTGCGGATACGTATGCCTGCAGAGGACTGTTCTCTATCGCCCACTTGTGAGCCATAATGAATCGGCGCGCATCTCGAACCAGCGCAATCAGCTTAGTTGCATCTGCTTTTCCCTAGACTAAATTAGTACGCGCAATGCATGAGTAGCCCTGCGGGTTGAAGGATTACATTGACTAACGCCTCAAGTTTTGCCATTGAGATTACTCCTTTCGGCATGCTTTTGCACAAGCTAAGAGCCTCAAGCCAGTAGAGGTATTTCTTCCTTAGAAATTCGTGAACAGCGCCCCCATCTTGCAGGTCAATCGAGGAATTCACAGAAGAACTGAAGCTCCAGTCACAGAGGTGATCGATCCAGTAGATGCACGAATAACGTGACGCCGCCAAAGGGTCTGGATCTGGCGATTCCACTTGCTCCGCAGGATACCCTGGCGCATGCAAGCTGTACACGTCCCGTTTGAGCGTCTTAGACATGGCTTGGAGCGATCTCAAGACGATAGAATGGTGAACATCCCCAACCCCACACGGCAAGATGTTATGGCTTGCTTCACTAGATAGAAAGTCTCGAGCTGACTGATGGATGATGTAGACACTACCTTCTTGTATCGTCAGGAATGAGCCGCACATCTTTACAATCGCAGTAATGGCTTCATTTACGTCCCGGGCCTGGGTGGGCAAGCCGGATAAACTATGCAGCTCTTGTAGGCGTAGCGGACGGTAAGCTGCTATGACAGTAGAGAGAACTTGCCGACAAAGTTCTGGATATTGACGCTGCAACCGTTCTATTTGCTTCAACATCCGACGATATAGGTCTTTCAACTGTGTTGGCACTTCTTCGAGAACTTGTAGCACCTCCCAAGCCATCACCTCTTTCAGCTCTTTAACGACAAGAGACACCCAGAGAAAAGTGCCACTAGCCTTTTGTTGCATTTTGTCCCGCACCGACTCTCGGAGGATGTTGTCGTGTTGAATTTCTGGTAGTTCCGAAAGGCAATGGTCGATATACGCATCAACGGCACGGGATACTTGCGCCGCGTTTTGTTTGAGCTCTAGACTCAGCCTGGTTCCGGAATCGTCAAGTTGCAGTCTCTGCTCAATAAAAGCCTCGTTGCGGCTAGCAACTATCCACTTAACACGAGGAGATATAGACGACTTCTGCGCAATAAAGTCTAAGAGTTTCGGCAAATCCATTACGCACTCGTCAAGTGCATCAATGATCAAATACGTGGTCTTTAAGCTCGGGTCTTGCAGAACATTTGTGAAGATTTCCAACAAGGCAAACCAAGCATTCGCATCCTCGAAGAGCGCTTTGCCTGCGTGGTCATGCTTCTTCCGTATGTGCGAGACGAGCGATGGCTGCTGATTAACAAGCATGTACAGCAGACCTCGTAGCACGGCTGTGGCGCTGTTGATACGCGAGTCGGTTGCCTGACAGAAAAAGTACGACAGAAGGCCTGTTGCGCCGATCGAGCTCTGTAGTTCGTCAACAATCCCACATATCAGCATCGTCTTCCCTTTGCCAGGATCAGCCTTGACCCACAACAGTTGGTTCTGTGGTCTATCGCGCCATTGTCGGAAGTCCGGGTTGTCGAGAACCCAGCGGTATGAGTCCTTTAGTAGTCCGCCTTTAGTCTCCTCAATACGCTTCTTGTCGTCGCGAGGATCGGTAAGGCGCAGGTCCGCTAGGCACTTGTTGTCCGCGCTTGTCTCGTGCATCCTCTCCTGCTGCTTGGTCTGCTCCCGAATGGCTGAGCCAATGCTGTCCAGCTTAACATTCTGAGACTTGGCCGTTTCAGCAATCGCGCCGAGCCGAGTCCGGATCGAGAGCGTATTGTACTGCGCCGAGTTCGCCTGCACTGCCGCCTCGGCTGCTTGTATGTCGCTTAGCTCGCCATCCCAATTATCCAGCTTAATAAGGTCTCGTGCAAACACCGAAAGCCGTCTACGGTGGTAGTAGCACACGCTCTTCATCTGGTAGAGCAGCAGCTTCGCATAGAGCTGGATAACGACCTTCTCGAGCTCATCACGCAGGCCTGAAGAATGCGCCTCAGTCATATTCTCGTCTAGTAAGAGGCTCGAAAGGTTCCAGTACCAGTCCATCCTCGACACAACATAGGAGATGCCTTGCCGGTTAGAGCTCGCCTGGGTGAGCGGGTTCATCAGAATCTTAGCCATGCACATTAGTGCTAGACGATTGTATTAGTGGCAGCAGTACAAACCTCAAGCGCGAAGCAGACACCCACCCAGGCGACAGCCGCTTCGGGCGACGCCTGGATCGCTTTGTCCACAACCTCTTTCACAGCCATGGCGGCCTGGATGCCATCTTCCATCCCCTGCTTCACCTTGGCATCCTTCTCCGTTCTGCGTAGCCCATTCTGAACGAGCTGCTGCATCTGCATCCGCCTTTTACCTGCGTCCTGTGCAATCTCGTTCTGCTGCGACGCGAGATCTGCAGAGTGATGGGGGTTGAAAGCGTCTGCATCTTGTTCGCTCAGCCGAGCAGACAAGATTTTTTCGTAGATATCAACGGTTCTCGAACCGCTTGTCTTTGCCTGGTCGTATGCTTGGTTCCAGAGGCGTGCTGGTAGAATGGGCGGAGACGTGGCATCAGGAGCGGCCCGTGCATGTGGGGTAATGGATGGCAAGGCCTCAACACGCGGGGATGTTGGCAGATCCTTTTGGCCGAATTTGGCCTTGAGACGGTTTTCCAAGACATAATAGATGGGAGAAGTGGCAAACAGCTGTTGTGAGAGGGAGGAAATGGTGGATATACATTTGCGAGGCTTTAAGGTAGCGACAGAATTGTGATCTGCCGCTGTGGGCTCAGCTTCAAATGCTGCAAGTAAGCAAATACGCGAAATATTGGATTCTTGGCCGCGACCCAAAAGGCTAAAAGCAGTCGTAGTTGAAAGTGAACAATAAAGACATCGCAAGACTCGAAGAACTCTTGCATTTTGCTTTTGTTGCGACGGCGAGAGGTGCAGGGCGCAAGTCATGCGACAGAACGACCAAACCTTGCGTACCTTTGAAGTGAGGCATCTCAACATTTTATCGCTTACTGCAAGATATATTGATTGCAGCGCATTGTCCTTAACAGAGGCGGATTTGCAAGTGACCAGACTAACGGACGAATATCCTAATCACGCTAGCAGGGAGGGCAGCCGACCCGCACCAGCCATAGGGTTGCCATGAACGTCCGCACTGGCTGACGTTACGAAGAGACATAAGGGTCATTATCGATGGCAAAGGACGGCATGCAGCCTTAGTACCTTACCAATCACAGCTACCATTATATCTCTGCTCTACCCTTACCAGCGCTCATGAGCATCGACGATCCAAACTCTTCATACCCCCTGAGATCAAAACTGGAGCACCTTGCCACGCCCCTAATGATTGTAATATTTGTGCAAGGAGCCATTCGTTGTATGGCCGTGCAACAACTGTATCCTCAAGATATGCAGACCCTTTCCACCTTTGTACGCGCTTGCAACGACGGCGTTCTTCCAGTAACAGTGACTCCGCTTGCCGAAGCCTAGACTCGGATCTTAGTGTTCTGTATTATACCAGCTAGCCTCTGTCTCCTGCCATATTCTCCTTTAACGAGCTAAAGTAGTATTCGGCTACGGCTTGGTATATGTATCGGTCGCGATGTGCTCGAGAGCACGAGAACGTGGTGGGTCGGACAAGGGCCCTGCTCCTAATCCGAGCCGGTTTTCGAGTATCCTAGAGCGCTTGGCAAGCACCGCACAGCCATAGTTCTAGCGTCAGCAGCGATAGATTACAGCTAAGCTACTTTAAGCTAGGTGTGCAGGGCCTCTTCATCTAGCATGTCTAGCAGGCGGACTCAAAATTAGCACAGAAGCATAATAACCTCCTAAGCTTAAGTATAGTACTTAGGATAGGATAATAATAAAATAAGCTATATACTAATAGACTTTCGTTAAGATATATAAGCTTTTAAAGTACCTACTACTAGCTAAAGTAAGGTAGTTACGTAACGCTTATATAAAATTATTATATTATATAGTAAATAGAGCCTATTTCTAAAAGATACTAAGAGAGAATAGACTATATAGCTTAAGGCTGCTATTCTAAGGATATCTGTTCTTCTAACCTATTATTGCGCTTATTGTGTTAGGGAGTGTCTGTGGCGTCCCGTCACGCAGGGTGTCCCGCCACACAGGGATGGACGTTAGGTCTTCAATTCTAACAATGCGAATCATTGTGATCGAGAGCACACAGCGACCATTGATTTGCCACGGTAGATGATGAAGCTTTTGTTAAGATTGCTTGAGCGATGTATCCCATTGCCCTTGATGAGCAGGCGGAGCTTGCGACTCTAAGGAAATAACAATACCATGATTTCACTCCCCAGCGCTTTCTGCATAGTGGGTCCTTGCGATTGAGCGAGTGCAGCTTCTCAACGTATCATTGCGATTTGTCGTAATCCACCATTGAAGTTGACATGGAACATTCAACGCGTCCGGTCATGTTGCGTGCTCGACATGACCACTGGGAGTGGTTTCATCACGCGCATAGATTTTCAGAGTTTGAGGATGTCGCGGGGGAATTGCGGTTTTTGGATTTGCCGGTAACGGCCCTGGAGGAAGATATAGGCATGTTGGAAATGATGCCGGATCCTTCAAACCCCTTTTAGTCACCTTGATAGCTAGCCAGGGTTGGGCTTTTGGGGGTTTGACCAATGAAGTTACAAATCAAACTACCTATTGCTTTTCGCATAATCTTTTATTCTCGATCTTTTACATTATTTCTCACCAGAATACATAGTACCAAGCGAGTTCACGAGATAGGGATACAAGACAACTGGAGCTCGCAGGTCGGTAGAGACCATGAGGGACCGTGATAATGAGCCTCCATAGGGTGCCTTGTCATTGATTTGACCCGCTAGCTTATTCGACATAAGCAGACGTTCAACTTGTTCAATCTCTCGATTCCCCGAAGCCCATATCCCCAATCTGTCACTTGTGGTAGCTAGATACCTCGGGGTCCAGTCTAACAAGGTATCGGCAAAGCCGGGCCCCTCGGACCCTGGCCCTTTACTTGCCAACACCATGTTGCACCGCAAATGAGCAAGAAGAAGGTTGCAATATCGTGTTGGAAAAAGGTTATCTGGTTACAGCTTAGCTCACTGTGCTTCTGCATTCTTTTCTGATCCTATCCACCAACTATAAATGCTCCGCCCCTAACTCATTATTGCTGCCATTTGCAACAGATAACAAAAATAATTCCAGGACGTTTGTTTGTTACTGGTGATAGTGGATACATTGGCAGCGTTCTCATCCAACTTGCCGTTGCTGACGGTTACACGGTTCGTAGTTACGTGTCATACCACATTCCCTCCTGACAACATCGATTGATGATACACTCGACATGTAGGCGCTGTTTCCCGCTATGAAGAAAGCGACACATAATTACGCATCTTGGGTGCTGAGCCCGTTCGAGGCGATCTAGCCTCCTAGGATGCGCTCCGAAAGGAGAGCAAAAAGGCTGATAGTGTCGTTAACTTAGCTACTGCCTATGTCTTTGGTTAAGGCAAGTATGAGGTCGCATTCCCTATTGACAACGCCGCCGTCGATACCATGTGCGACGGCTTGGCCGGCACTAGTAAGCCTCTGATCACAATTTCGGGTACTTGATTCGTACAGGCCGATCCCAATGGAAATGAGACAGATGAAGACGCTCCTCCCGAGCCTAGCACTCTCAGTTTGCGCATTCAGGCCGAGAGCCATGCTCTCGCTCAGGTAGAAGAGCGAGGTGTTCACGTCATGATCATTCGTATGGCCCCCTTTGCCTATGTCTGTGGTGGAAGCGGCATCGCACGCTTCATGGGCATGGCAAAGGTCATGGGCGGGATCCCTACTGTGGATGGTGGTAAGAACCGCACCACAGCGGTGCATGTTGATGATGCTGTCCGTCTCATTCTTTTTGCACTTGAAAAAGGCGAGGCTTGGGATGTGTTCAATGTGGGATCATAAATCGAAGTCACCATGGGTGCCCTGTTGAATGTTATCAATTCTTCGGCCGGTACGCCCACCAAGGACATCACTTATGATGAAGCGTTGGATAAATCTGGAGAAACTATCGCGTGGTTTCTCAAGGCTAAGAATAGAGCTTCAGAGATGAAAGCGCACAAGAAGCTTGGGTGGCAACCGAAGGACACGCCACTTCTTGAAGACATCGAGTCTGGTTCATACGCTATCAAAAAGTAGAGTCCAGTGGAAATTTCTGAGCAGGGGTCAAGGGTATCAATGTTCAGCTAGATTGTATAGATGAAGAATAGATCACTCCTTAAACAAGATATCCATGACGGCGGTGCTAAACTTAGTGGTCCCGCAAACATGGAGCGTAGTGTTGTGTCAAGCGTAGAGAAAATAAAAAAATAGTTACTTGACAGCTCTCCTGGCAGTGCTAAAAGGGGGTGAAGCTTAGGCAATAGACAGAGTAGATACATATTAGCTCCACCCTTCAGCCTCGCCAGCTAGGCTGTGAAGTACCTATTTTATATATGATGTAAGGCGAACGAGCGGCGCGCGCTCTTTGCCTCTATTCGCTCTTGCGGAGAGTAGACCTTTTAGCTCGTTCTCCAGCTCATTCTCCAGCTACTCTGCTTAGTCGATCTAGTCTTCGAGCTAGTGCTTTAGCCACCCCTTGGGTCGTTCTTTAGCTGGATTTTTGAGCTCGTATTCAGCTCGCTTTCTAGTCGGTTTTTGGCTAGGCTGGCGGGAATCTTGATATCTGTCACGTGATTGGGTACTCTCCAAAACGGAAAATACTGATTTCTTGGAGCCAATCAGATCGCGTTTCTTCGTACACGGAAAACGAGGTCCATGAATGCGACAAGTAGTATTGAGGGTTGTCTAAGTTTTCGCAATGGTGGGCACCTAAGGCACTAGCGAAGCCATATGCACACTTTATGTGTATAAGAATGGCTATCTTCGAATGTAATGAGTTGGCTGTATTCTCACATCAAAAGTATGAACCTTGCATACCCGATGTACTCCTCTAGCAAGCCTTGCTAATCTTAACCCCCCCTAGAACCAGCTTCTGGAATGTCTGACTAGGGTCATACCTCTTTGACACAGATTCTATAAAGTAAATCCTTTGCTATTCATAGTCACAAAGTGGCTTTTGCGACGGAGCCGCAAAGTTCTGATACAAGAAGCGATGGCGGTTTGCGCCGGTAGCTTTAGTAACCGCGTCGATCCACTCCCCCACCATCTCATACATGGCTGCGTCCTGAGCGGCGTCAAACAATCGCGGTTTTATGGACGCTACAATCAGATCCTCTGGGTTCTCTTCCAAGCCGAGTACATTTCCTCCTCGGACTGCGGCAAGCGTCAGAGATATCTTGGCGGTCGGCACATAGAAGTTGACCCAGTCCAGGTATTCGACCGTCATGTTGTATTTGAGGTAGACCTGGTCTGAGGCAGTGTGGATAGCGAATAAGGTAGCTGGATCAGTTCAAAACGTGACTGTTGCGGACGTATCGCGAAATCCGTCGGCTTGGTAGGTATCAAGCTCGGTGACTACATTACTGATAGAACGCAGGTCTATCGTGTTGGCAATCTGGGGCTGGAGCAATGTAAAGGGATCTAAGCCGGTTGAGTTGACAGTACTGTCTGTGCTTGCCAAAGGCGATGCAATCACATTCGGACCTGTCGAAGTGTATGTGAAGGCAACCTATGAGCCATTGTTGGGCAGTGTGTTGTTAAGAGTCGTGAAATTGACAATTGTGTTGAACGTAGTATTGCCCGGGTTTGGAATTTACGGGAGCAGTATTGAGCCGCCCCAAATCTTGAGTCGCTTACTGATTGCGGCGACATCGACTCGTGTCACAACACCAAAGTTATTACCGCCACCCTTGAGAACTTTCTAAAGCCCACTGTTGCTCTTATGGCTTGCGTCAACGACATCACCTGAGGTCAGTACCACTTAATAGTTTACTACATTATTCATAACCCATCCATGGTTCAAAAACAGGAATGACATTCCACTGCCTATGGGTTTTGGAAACGTCGTGGTGCATTTAAAGAACATTGCGTAGATCTGTTATTTCATACGTGTCGCAAACCATCAAGCTTTATCTTGGATAATAACTTCACCTCCACCTTCTCGATTCAACAAAACGTAACTTCTCTTCCACGGCGCAATGACTACAGCTTGGAAAGCATTAGAAAAGTGCCTGCCCTTAAGGAATAGCAACAACGACGCATGATGGCACCTCACAGGCCGCCATTTGGCTGCAATTATGGATGCGGCAGGATGTACTCTCGAGAAGCAGTACGAAGCACTACTATTCTACTATCATTGGACGATGCCGTATATGGGGCGCACCCCCGGGCTGGCGCAGCATTCCTCAACTGGCGCTTGGAAGTCGCTCTTGGCCCTAGACGGAACGCCCGTGGAATACGTTCAAGGCTGGCTCTACACCCAATGTGTGTAGACGGGCTGAGGCTGAGGCGCGAATCCTATAGCGGGGCTCCAACGACCGCCTTCACAACGCCATCGCGCACTGCTGTCGGCCAGTTCCTCAACATAGGCCCACAAGGCCGAAATCCCACGCCAATATCGCCAACTATGGACAATGTTGCATCCGAGACTTCACGTCCCAAGTTGCACTTTCATACTACGCAGACAAGCTTTGCGTCAGTACGACATATAATGACACTAGGAGGCGTTATAGCTGCGCCCGAAGTTTAGAGGCTTCTAGGTCAGCTAGCGTCTCTCGTGAAAGCCATCAATGAGCTTGAAAACGATTTTCCCTGAAGATGCCGAGGTGCCTGCGGAGTCAGAGTTAGAGACCGGTCTCAACTTTGGAAAGCTAAGTAAGGTGCTTAAGGGCTACCTATACTACTTTAATCTTGCTCCGGGCAAGGCGGTGCCGAAGATCAAACTATTTGTTCCTACCCGGTACTATGGAGGCAATGACCCAGTGCTTGGACGTCCACTGACCGGGTGGATGGAGGCGAATGGACGAGGGTCGCACTGTAATGGCTATCCTGGGATGCTAGAGAGCCTGGCTGGACATCTAACATTGGATCAGGGCAAGGGTTTGCAGACGTACGTTAGCTGCTTGTTCAAGGAGGGTGAATTGGATATTGCAACGTACCTCAGAGCCGAGGCATTTCATCCAGGGCGCCTTGCATCTACAGTTGGGCCCTGGTTAACCAAGTCGCCGACTCTGCGCCTTGAGTACTGGTACTAACCGATGTGGCACCAGGTCGTGGTAGGCAAGTGGACATGGAACCGAGGTCTGGAAGGTCCACAGGCTAACTCATCTACTGGTAACGAGCGATATAAAAGATTTAGGACGTCAAGCCCGAGTATTGCAAATGCAGTGTTTGAAGATGTTATATTGTTACGCAGTATGCAAAGCCTGTCTTGATTTCACTGTTTCCTTCTTCTCACACTATACAAGGCTAACGACGAATTAACGACCTAAAGATCCCGACAGCTTCACGGCTCGTATTCTCTTAGAATACTTTACACTCTTAATCTCTCAAAGCACTATGCAGAATGGCAAATGTTATAAATAAATCAAATTCGACCGACTTGAAAAAACCTAAATTTGGTGCGAGTTTGTTCTATGTATACCTCTGGCAAGCCTACATTGACCATAAGAAATTTAGGTCTTGAAGCACGACACACCTTTTATAGCACAAGGTTCGAAGAATCAAGTAGCTTAGCTTACATGTTCTTCATGCGTTTGCAGCTATCAATACCCTTCATGTTAATGTCCTGCATAGTACGCCTAGCAGGTGCGCCTGTAGCGGATAGCTCGTATTCGGCTATGATGATGCTGGTTCCTGGATTATGGAAAAGAAGAGGTTCTCACGTGGGTAGCGGGCTGCAACGGCGAGCTGCTCGGCCCTACCGACAAGCTTCTCGGTAATGCCGACAAGCTGAGAGTGCATCTTTTGGTTGGCGGAACCATTTGGCGCCTGAAAGGTATCATCAAGACTAGTAGTCTTGCGCACGAAGGAGATAAGGGGGCTTGGCGGGGCAATCTACAATTGTGTACTTTGTTTAGCCTCGACGTAAGACTGCAACATGGTCTGAGTTGCATGCAAGTCATACCTGACCATGTTGAATGCAACGCAAAACTTGGGGCTCTCTTGCAACACAGCCTGCGGGCCAGAACCTGAGGCCGTATGCTGCCCACCAGATGTCCAAGTATGGAAGAGACGGACCCCGTGTGCACGTACGGGTATTTAGTCGCCTTTGATCGCTCTTGTTCGCCTAGGTCTTGTCAAGGCCCAGCATGGATTCGAGACTTGGCACTGATCTTGTGAGTGCAGCTGAACATGTCGCAAACCGATGTCGCGATGCGGTGCGTAGCGGGCTAGGGTCATCAGACACAGCGAGCATTTGCTCATCCTTGGACTACGTCCAGTCGCTGCTCTTCCAATTGGAGCCAATGATGTTTGTCCAGCGGCTTGCAAACCAGGTGCGGCCGCCTTCATCCCCCTGGCTAACTCTCCTCAGATTTTCCAGTCCAATCTGAGATAGGTAGTTATCTGTTGCAAGACACTTGCTGACACGAGCGTAGAACCAGCTTCTAGCATGTGTGCAATGGTTAGGCGAATTCCAAGTACTGGCCTATCTCCCAGTCGAGGCAGAGGACGGGCTGTCTATCAAGGATGTGGCCGAACTGGCTGACGTGCCTGAGGCGCAGCTGTGCCGGATTATTCGTCTTACAACAATGGGCGGCTTCTTGCGCGAACCACGGGCTGGCTTCGTTGCACACACCGCCCTTTCCGCTAGTTTCGTTCGCCAACTAGCCCAACTAGACGCAACTATGTTCTTGTCTGAGACTGTGGCTCCTTGTATGCTGCGCATGGCCGCTGTATCGCAATGCCCCCAGGGTGAAGGATTCTTGGTCGACTGGAGCAGCCAACGAGTGCAACGACTGTGGTCAAGCTTTGATGGGGCCATGGGCGGTGGGGATCAAGACAATCCTATCTTGGCACAAATCGACTGGACGAGCCTGGCTCACGATGCCGCCCTATCGTTGCCAAAGGTGGTGGTAACAGTGGTTCAGGTTGCTGGGGTCGACGATGTAGTGGGCCCACTCCTGTCACGTGGCTTGGCGGGTGCGGGGGTAATTTTAGCGCTAGCGGAAAGCCACCCCGCCCTGATCTTCGTTGTTCAGAGGCAGAGTAACGCCACAGCCACAGCAATAGCCACAGCCACAGTCACACCAGCCACCACCCATAACAACCTCTACCTATGTCACCGAACGCATGGCACGCCACAGACAATAAACGACGCCGTCCTGTACCTCATGCGCGTACCCGCAACCGTTCCTGGATCCGTCCGCCCTCATATTGAAGCCGAACTGCACGCCCACCTACCCGTCCTCAAGGCCCAGCGAAGCGCCATACTGATTCTGACATGTCCCCTGCTGCCGGAGCCCGGCGCCGTCTTACGTCAGACTGAGCTGCTCGCACGCCTGCGTGACTTGACTCTACTACAGTTGGTCGGGAGTGGCCTGTTAACATTACATGAGCTAGTCGAGCTTGTTAGCAGCATCCACGATGCCCACGGCGGTCTTGTCGTCGTCAAGCAGCTTCATGCTTCTAATAGCGCCGTCGTCGGTTTAGCGGTCCGTTATCAGCCATTGCTACCTATGACTGGCTAATGTGACGTCTGACAACTTCCACTATGTACGTAGTACCCAAAATTGGCGACACGGTGGCGCGTTGTGTAGAAGTGGCGATTGTAATTTCTTATCCTAGAGCTATGTTCACCGGTACGGACTAAATACTCCTATATAATTGCAATCTAGAACTAGACCAACCACTCATATATGGTCGCAATCCACAACGATTGTGACCAACCCATCTCTCTTCTTTGTCTTCGTGTTCAAAAGCAAACCGGGCTAGTATCACCGGCATGGCACTCAAGTTGCGTGATAGCTGTGACGCCTGTGCCTCATCAAAGGTGAAATGTCACAAACAGAAGCCAACATGCTCACGTTGCCAGAGGCGTGGTACTCCTTGCCATTATCAGGTCAACAAACGCGCTGGCCGTCGCCCAGACTCGGCTGCCTTTCCTCCCCTTGCTACATCGATGCTACAATGGGAACCATTCGACTTCGATTCATCATTTAGCACGACTACTACAATTCCATCCACTCACTCGACCGACAACGACACCTATATGCACCAATTGCTCACCCCAACACCTTTCTTTTCTGGAGACAATTCTAGTCAATCTGCCTACGACTGGACTTCTACCACACCCAGCAACGATATCTTCATGGCCCAATCCATGCATGCCGCGACTATGTCTTGTACATCGTCAAGTTCTCCTGGATTCGGGTCTGACGCTGCATCACCCGTAAATCTGGCCAGGGACCTGGATGACAACCTGCCATCTTCCGTGAGCCTCTGGGCCCCCACAGTCCATGAAACATCTACCGTTGACACGCCTCCCTTACTCGAATCATGTACCGAGTCACAATCCTCAGCTTCAAATGCCACCATCCCAGCGCTCGACACATGCCTTACGCAAGCTACAAAAATCATGCAACAACAGTTCCACCAACCTACTTTCGGCTCCCCAAATATCTCCTGTAAGCTCCTCAAACAAGACGGAGTGATCAATGCGACCGGACCAGCCCTAGACCTAGTCATTGAAGCAAACAAGCGGTACATTAACCAAGTTGGTACAATGCTGCAGTGTCAGTGTTCAGCTGACGGCTACCTTCTCACAATAATCTCACTCATCATCTTCAAGATTCTCGACTCTTACGGCGCAGCCGCAAGCGAATCCGAAGTTCGAAAATCAAAGGCCAATGCCGCGGAAGAAGATGCACAGCGTGTAGCTGCACAGCGGGTCATGGGTGAGCTCCACCGCGTACAGCGCCTGGTGAAACAGCTAGCAACCCACACTAAGCGCTACATATCTACAGAATCTCCAGAAATGACGCCAGGAGTGTTCACATTGTGCGGGCAGCAAGAAGAAGGCGAAGCATCTTTCCCCTTCTCTACAGTCAAGCTGTATCAATTGGAGACGGTCATGAAAAAACGGCTTCGAAGCCTTTCTCTGAAATTAGCAGTTCACCTTAGAAAGGTTTGAGCATTACTCGATACGCATTATCCCGTTCAATATATCGTATGTCGCTTTTCCCACACGCCGAATCGCCGTGTTCCTGACGTGAGCATCGTATACCATTTTACCAAACGGAATTAATGTCATGACTACTATAATGGCACTAGCTATGGATCGAGGCCAATTGACCAACACTGTGATAGTGGCTTCAACGAATCCTGAATGACGACTTTACGCCCTTTCGCCCAGAATCTCCGTCTAGTTCAAGTTCTATGCCGGCGTACACATGGGTACTAACTAGTGAGGATGGGTATACATTGGCCATCTTGTACCCACTCTGACACTATCTATTTGAGTGCCACCCTTCCTTGTCTACTACCTCCCACCCCAATCATTCTCTTTGGTCTGTCATCACTGCGGGAGTCAAACATGCCCTCTTTAACTACCCCTTATATCCCCTACCTCCTCGATGATAGAGTCACACTGGTGATAAACTCTGGCCGCGGCATTGGCGCCAAAGTTGTCGTCAACTATACCCACTCAGAAGCCTTGACACTGAACGTTGTCACAAATATTAAGGAACTTGGATCAGATGCTGTTGCACCGCGAGCAGATGTCAGAAATGTCGCGAAAACGACCAAGCTCATGCATGAGGCTGTTGCTCGCTTCTGAGGTATAACATTCCTCGTTCTTCGTTTGATGAGCATGTCGTTCTCTTTCTGGCAGTACAATTTCAAACATCAAGACTTAACTGACCCTCCACTAAAATGCCAATAGCGTTAAGGGATATGGACCCCCATCTTGGTGTAACTTTGATTCTTCCAATCTAGCAGGATAAGGATGGAAGCTCTGAGAAACTGTAAACACAATTCAGAATTCCGATGCCAGGTCCAAACTCGCGATATAGGTAGCCCACATGACCAAAACTGCTACGAGATGATCATATTGAAGCTGTCCATCATCCTGCTGAGAAATTCAGTAGTTCCTTGGTTCAAACCACGATTTATCACATTGTCCGTGTTTTTTCTTGATTCATTGTGCGATGACAACTTTAAGTCAGGTCAAAAGCCACAAATTCGCAGCCTCTACCAGCTCAGACGATCACGGCAAAATTCAAAGATCACAAAGATATTTGATTGCACCACGGTTTTCCGAGAAACAATGACAAATGAAAGAAATGTTAGACGGCATTCATCTGCCATAACTCAGGCGAGTCTATATACCTTTTCTACATCATCGGCTATCTGTTGTCATGTTAGCATCTGCTCTCGTATTCTCAGAAACAGCCACAAGTCAACTTTACCTTTTCCGCCACCGCATACACGTTAGCTGTGGGACCCCCAAAAACAGCCATGAGAAAGGTGCTCACGTCGGCGATGCGCAGTCCAGTAACGACGTACACTTTGTGCTCCGCATCGACAACACCGCCTAATTCTCGTGGTATCTTGGGCGCAGAGCAACACTGCTGTGCGCTCGAGACAGAAAGAGAGTCACGAAGCATGTTCTCGAGATGTTCATCGCTTTGGACATGTAGCTCGAGCGGACCGGCCTCCATGGTTATCGCCATAACGCTGCCGATGGCTAATATGATGGCTAAGATGCGTGATACAGCTACCCGATTCAATACTCGACCCACGTTTACCATTACGGAGTCTGCCGCCTACGACCATACGAAATTTCCCCAGCGTCCCGCTCCTAACGGCCATATTCTAATTGCGCTGTCCGATAGAGAGACATGCAAGAAATACCGGTCACAACAGCATCCCATATCTAAGCTCATACAACTGCTAATCGTGCGCCCTGTTGCTAACCATCCTTCGGCTAGCGAGTTTCCCCTAACCATCAACATTGTCAACCCAAGCTTGAGCTCATCAGCGCTAGCGCGTGATGTTACAGGCTGGGGGTTTTGGTTCTTCAGGCTGCCGGTGGCACACTCGACAGAGGTGGGCAGTAGAACACCAGTGCACGCAGGTGCTTCGGGCATGGAGACGCATGGCAAGTATCTGAACGACTGCATGATCGAGGAACCGAGTCCACTGGTGACAGATGCGGCGGGCAAGGAGGGGCAGGAGCGCATCGTGACTGAGATTCTCAAGGAGATTAAGGTCATTCAGCCCGGTGCCTCAAAAAGTTTAAGGGTTGTTTGAGCGGTAACATCCATAAACAAGGATTCATCCTCGGTGCGTATATACAGTTTTTCGTCCTATATTTAATCCAGCTAATGTTATCTGGCTACATCATTGTATCGGTATGATTTTCGTGAAGAAAACAGCATTCTCCTACTATATTACACAGTGATATAGGATGAACTGGTCATCCATAATGTAATATTTGTGGAATTGAGTTGGTCTATTTATCTGGCTAGATTCCGGTCCGCTTGAATAGTTTCGCCGATCGGTCCGTTTATCCACAACCAATCTTTGGACAGCGTGTGAGGGGAAACTGGTGTGTACACATACATTTACGGAACTCAGTCCTACTTCCAGATGCCCGCAGTGCGTGCTTGTACTCACCGTCTTTGCTTTCACCTGTGCCCTTTTGGGTTGACATGTCCCTGGTTGATCCATGGCTCTGCAGAAAGAAGGCTCGAGCATGGGGCAGCTTAGGCCCAAGGGCCACTGATGTGCTTACCCGTAATTTACCAAGGCACTAAACTTTGGGTCAGTCGCTAATAATAGCAATTCTAGCATCACAAGCATGTAAATGTACATTTGCGTACAATGATTTCAAGGCTCTCCAGCCCCCCACTCCTTTTTGTACCCCTCAGCTTGACATTTGTAGCATTGGAACATGTAAACAACATGATGCGTTGCTTTTGCTAGACAAGAATAGTAAAAGATTGAGTGTATTCTAGGAACGCCGTAGTAACCACTGCCAACGACCCTCAGATATGGCGAGCTTCCGAAAGTTACAGTCTGACTCTAGCATTTAACCATTGAAGTTTTTCGCGCAAGTCATTTCTTCACCCGTATCGACCACTGCAATGTTTACGCCCCTCCTATGTGAGATCAGCTACCTGTAGGGCTTTTTGTGCGAACTTTGGAGTGCTAGAGCATCTCATGTCAGCAACTGAATCAAACTATCATGAGGTGGTAAGCCGACGATCTCAATCACGGACTGGATTTAGGATCTGAGATTTTGACATTGTTGACTCATGGAGACATCGCCAGGTATCAGTAGTTGATTATATCTCGAGGAATCGCTGCGTAAAATGCATTTAACGATAGCCCTAATCTCTAAATTGCTGTCAATTCGCGTTTTCATACTTCATAAGAGCACTGCTTCAGTAGTGGCTACACCCTTCGATCCTATATGTGAAACCTTAATCACGTTTTTTCTCACCAGTAAGCTGGACTGATATTTTCTCTTCGCTACAGATGGTTCTCGAAGTTTACATAACTACAAAGTAAATTCACCACAGAGGCTTGATTTTTAACTACAAGGATCATGATATTCAAAGTCAAGATGTCTCCTCGCGAGCGGTAACTACCTGCAAGCGGAGAATCCCTCGCCAGGGCGCTATACCAAAGACGGCAGTATTACACGATAACCAGAATCATCAGCACATGTTTCGGGTATTCATTTCGGACGTATTACAACGCCTCACGACACACAGTCCAGTAAGTCGAATGAATGGTAAAACCTTGCTCTTCATATTTAACCTGAATGATGTGCCCGAAGAAAAACGCACAGCACATCGATCTCCAACCCTCTAGCCCTTCGTTTTATTCAAGTCGCCTCATCGACGTCACACTATCATTAAAAATGCATCACAACACGTTTACATTTATTCTCTCCGGCCTCGCTGCACTTGGTCAAGCTGCTCCCGTCAGAGATGCTGCACCACCTAATGAGGCGGCGGACATGCCTGCCAACCTATTGCGCGACTTGCATACCGCTGAAGCCTTCGCCAAGCGCGTATCCGGCCCTCAACAGGTTCTCTCTAACTGGACTGCCGCAGGCTCTGATTTATGTTCGTGGGCAGGTTTTTACTGCGACACCGTCCCCAACACCAACGAACTGGGCCTCGCTTCCATTGATTTCAACGAGTTTGGACTAACTGGCAACCTCAAATTGTCTGGCTTTCTCGACAAATTTACTGACCTCGCCCTCTTCCATGCCAACGACAACGGGTTCAGCGGCGAAGTGCCTGATCTCAGCCAACTGCAATATCTCTACGAGATCGACCTGAGCAACAACAAATTCTCTGGACCTTTCCCGCAGAGCGTACTGAGGATCAACCTCTTGGGGTTCCTCGACCTCCGCTTCAACAAGTTCAGCGGTCCCATCCCCGACAATGTCTTCACCGCCTACCCCAGTCTCGATGCCCTCTTCTTGAACAACAACAAGTTCTCTGGCCAAATTCCCAACACCATCGGCTCGTTCCCCGGCGAATACCTTGTCCTCGCCAACAACCGCCTCTCCGGCCCCATCCCCGACTCCCTGGGCTCCGCTATCCAACTCAAGGAATTCCTGGCTTCCGGGAATAAGTTGTCCGGCTCCATCCCTGACGCCATCGGTTACCTCCCCCACCTCGAACTCTTCGATGTCTCGAACAACAAGCTGACCGGCACGGTTCCTGAGGCGCTCTGCGCTAGCAAGTCGCTCCAGAGCATTGTGCTGACTGGGAACAAACTTTCTAAAGATCTGGGGCCGATCTGCCAGGCGTCCAAGGCTAAAGGAATTTTGGAAATTTAGTCCCAGCGCGAACAAGAATGAGGGATCGGATATGGAGAGCATCAGCATCAGAACCAGCAACAAAGTATCATTCAATTCTCCCACTTGAAAAAAAGCATGTCCTAGCAAATGGGCGGTTGCGCGTGTTTATCTAATCTTCCCTCGAAAATCTTCGCCTAATACCTTTATCAATCTTGGCCACCATCTCTTTTAGGAAAATAGTGTGCGCCACTATTTCCATTATACCTAATACAGTCATACTCAGTATAATAATTATTGAAGATAAAAGAACAATCAATCGTTATGCAACAAGATATTCTAGTCGGTATCAGTCGCCTTCTCCGAATTAACGGGGCTATTGCATTCAAATCTCGCTATGCTTGATCTTCGATACTTTACTATGACGTCTTATGCTATCACTTCTCGTACTCTCGTTGTTACTTCAAAAGATGCTATAGATTTCGATAGTAAGATTGGTCCAAGTCACTGGGTATAGAAGTGTACGATGCATGAGTCATGAATGAGATTTATGTATTCATTAATGATATTGCCTACCTTCTCTTACTTCGAAGGTGGTGTTGAAGAATTACGCTATGGCTTTATGGCCACATAACGCCGTCACCCATAATCTTTGCCTTGCGCATATCGGTGCGGACATCGAGGGGGTAATCCTTTGGCGCAAGTTCTCTCCTCCATTGCTTCATTCTCTTGCTGAGAGCCTCTTCTCTACCGCTCAACTCGCGTTTGGTCAGGCTGTTTGTTGAGTATCCGGCAAAGTCACCGGCGATGCAGTGGCTTTTTCCGCCCCAGGTGGTGTCTGCGACGGCCTTCCAGATAGCGGTGATGTCAACGGTCATTTGCTTAGTGTACAGGATGCGGCAGTCAGCTGGCTCGTAGACGAACTGCAGTGGGGTCTCAGTCTCGTCGCCGTCACGAATGCCGTCTCGGAAATTGATGTTGATTGACGAACCAATAGCGAGACGGTCAAAGGGAACGGAAGACCAGTACTGGTTTAGCTCGGTGTTGTTGAGCTGCGCTGCCTCGTCGGCTGAAGAGGTGGTGTTGAGAACCGCATATTGAGCAAGCGCCTGGATATAGGTCCAAGGAAGATTGTTGGTACCCTTGACTCCACCGACTGCTTGTGTGATACCCTCACGAGGGCGACCACCAAGGGATATGTACTTAACACCAGCACGTTGGCGCATAAGCTCAGAGAAAATAGTGCAAGTAGATGCGCAGTACCCGTCAGTTACGACAACAATGTCCTCAGCAGCGAAGGGCTGTTCGGTATAGTTGGATAGAGGGCCATGGCCGTGAACATAGATGCCACCTGAGTTCTGGGTGATCAATGTATCGTTTAGGTTCCAGCGGAAGAGGCTTGTATAGTTGTCACCCTTGGCATGAAACGGACCAAACTTTTCCGTCCAGCTGGTGAAGGGTTCCCCATCAAGGTTCAGATCTGTGCGATAGTTGAAGGTAGAAGAGATGACATCGCTCTGAAGGTCGTACAGTGTTTCGTTTTGTTCCGGAGTGACTGGCTCTCTTGTCACACCTTCAGAAGCTTTGGAGAACTGTTTGCCAATGAGATCCGTTGATTCGAAAGCACGAAATCGGTCAGCTGCTGCGTGATCGATGTCATTAGGGAAGAGGAGTGAATAGAGGTCGTATCCCAGCAGGATGGTACCACCACCATTTGCCTGAACGTCAATGACAAGCTTCTTCTTTCCGGCAGCCTTGGCTGCGGAGAGGAAGTTTACAGCAGTGGCTTGGAATTCTTCCTGAGCATCGATGCCCACAAATGAAGGAACGGACAGAACAGCAACATCGGAGTACTCGTCTTCCAGGTAATAACCACCAATCAAGTTGTGGCTTTCACGAATAACTGGCGGTGGGAAGCCAGGAGCAGGAATTGGTGTGGTGGATGCAGAGGCGGATGCCGAAGGGGTTGGTGTAGTAGAGTTAGAAGGAGCGGGATCCTCAGTCTCAGTAGGTTGGTTGCCGGTAAACCAAAGCTTGTAGAGGCTCTCGCCATCAGTGATACCATCGAATGGGATCAAGACCTTGGCAAAGTTTTGGTAGGTGTGGCTGGTGCCATTGGCGAAATCAAGCGTGGTGGTAGCTCCAGGGTAAATCTGTCGTGAGTCAGCTGCTAGCTCATGGAAGCTTCATGTAGATGTATCTACATACCCAGCGACCTCTCCCTGACCCAGCAAAAGTGCCCATGCCAGGTCCAGTGGGGCCAAGTGACACAGTAGCAAGTTCATAGAAGACGTTGTTGTAAAGAGCATCGCGGTCTTGGAGAGAGCCGTACTGTGCCCAGTTTTCGAGGTATTCCTTAGCATTCTGACCATTAATCTTTGTGATGGGAGATGCCTTGAAGGTTGCGTTGCCAAAAGACTCAGCTAAGACATCGTCGTAGACGTAGGCCTTTGGTAGTTCCTTGCCATCTGAAGAGGCCGAAACGAGAGGAATTGGTCGCGCAAAATTAAAAACGGTTCCTAGGATGTCGGGCACATAGACAAAATGGCCGTCGTGTGTAGTTTGGAGAAGACGATAGAGCTCGAAGCCGAACTGTGACATGGGTAAGCTCTTGAATCTCGACTTTGTGCGCCGACGACATACCTCGTATTCGTTCGCATAATTGCTCTTGACTACCTTTTCTCTTATCTTGTCAAGCCCACCCCAGATGTCGACACCGGGTTGCACCTTTTCAGCGTATTCTTTGGGGGGATCCTTGAGCCAGACAGTGTTGCTTTGCCATCGGAAATAAGGCACCACACCGTCGACAAGTGCAAGGGCAGCAGATTGGTTGAACGGGACTGAAGTAAGACAATCGTAGGCCAACTGTGCAGGGACGGTGGGCACGGCAGCTGTTTGAGTTGCGGCCGAGCTGGCTACTTGGGCACACGGGCTCGTTGCATTGTATTGACGCGCATGGAAGGGCGAGGCGAGAGCACCCGAAGCGAGAGATAGAGCCGCAATGCTCTTGGAGATGGGTGCCATTGCTGCAACTTGACGTGACCCGAAGACGAGCAATTTCGAACTTGAGGTACATGGAGGATGTAGGGCAGTGACGAGCATTTATATCCAGTCCAGGCGCTAGCTGCACTACATGGGACGGTGAGATACCGGCCGGTGCTTTGTAGAGTCGACTCCATATTCCGCGAACGATGAGGTGATGCAATGGATAGCAACGAATCGCTAAGCTTGCACCGCATTAGTGCGTCGCTCAATGGGGAAGGCGACATGTGCGGATTTTACAATGTCGGCTCAAATCTCTTGTTAGCGTGGTGAATAGAGCTGCCAAAGTAGGCAAAGATCAGGTGTGCAGGACCGGCTTGGTGGATGCGAGCGAACAGGTTCCTCGAGGAGATGGTCTTGTGGTGGACTTGATCGAGTCGCGTCTTGAGTGTTGAGTTGGTCCACTTACATGAGTGATGTGCCTCTCCGCTGGAGACTACATGTGTGTCAAGGGCGGCACACGACTTGAGCTATGGAGAATGAACAATGCAAGCTTTAGATGAAGCCTCACAAGCATTGCCGTTTTGCAGCCACTAGTCGTTCACGGTTCCTAGTGGCCATGTCAGCCTAGGCCGAAAGGGGCAGGTCCGTTTCTTATCGGGTCCACCGCCGCTCACCGGCCCGTCCTCCAACCAGAGTAGCATTTGCAATCCTCTGAAGTCACTTCTTGTTACCAGCATAGGGGCATGTCGCCGCGCTCAATCAATCAATCAAAAGACGACTGCAAGTTGCGCATGGGAGATGAGACGGCCATCTAGAACCTCGGCCCAACGAGCCCATGTCAAATAATGTCCCGAAACTGCAAGCCACAGTCGTCGTTCGGACGCGATTTGAGCCTCTTTTCCACTTATATCCTTGGGGCGTACATGTGTCCAAGTATGTGCTTACTGACAGTACAAATCAGACAAGCTCTCGCTTAAGTTACCACTACGTACTACCTGTAATGTTCAAAGCAACGCCACGCTTGAACATACCCAAGTATGTAAACACCGAGTAAGCCTACATACAACACCCACGAGTAGCTTAGGATAGGGCGATAGTCATTGGGTATCGTGAGCATGGAGAGACGCTGTCAACTGAAAAGCATGCATTACCCTCGATCGTACTGAATGACTGCACAGTTGCTACTATGTGGAAAACAAACAAGGACTAATGTAGAGGGCCATATCAAGCGTACCATCTTTGCGCTGGCCCATGCCAATCTCTCGAATGTAGCTCGAGTTGTGCGAAAAGTGCCCAGCGTCGAGCTGGCGCTTCATGAAGGCGTGGGGCTGGGCAAAGTCGGCCACCAAGTCGTTGATGATGAGGGCATCGCCGCCGGGCATCTGGTCGGCAAACCAGTACAGCTTGGTGGTGATGGTAGTATTTGGCAGCATGTCGTGAGCGAGCAAGCAGTAGCGCTGGTGCTGAGGCTGGTCCTGGTACTGTGTCTGGAGACGGGCCCACAAGGTGGCGTAGTGACAGGGCAGTGGCAGCGGCGCCACCCCGTCCAGGCTAAGGTGTGGCTCAACGGCGTCGGCAAAGGAAGCGTGCGAGTCAAAGTAACAACGGCTGTACAACTTGATGCGCGCCGAAGGATACTTTGTGGCATCAATCGAGAGCATGCGCGGTCGTACACCTTGAGTGCCTCCCTCGCTGGTGGGATGCAAGCTAAGATGGCGTCGCAGCTGAGCCCATTGAGCGCCAATGTCTACGCCGTAGCGTGGCAGTAGAGCGAAGATGTCGTCCAACAACTGGAGAAGCTTCTGCCCAAACAGGCACGCTGGAAGGCGCCAGTACAGCTTACCGTGCACCCGTCCTGAAGTTGCCAGGTCGAAGCCGACAAAAGTCGTTGAAGGTGTGCACACTTTGCATCCAGCCGTGTGGTCCGTCTTCTCCCAGTGGGCCAGCCGCGCCGTCACAGCCTCCCATATATCTGGTAGCATATCGATACGATATCCACCAAGCCCTGATCTGCTCGCATATTTACGCAGCCCGTCGATCGTCTTTTGGGCTGTCAAGAGCGAAGCAGCACGATTCGGATTTCCTTGGCGTCCAATCAAGTCAACCACGTAGCGGACCATAACTGACGACGTGCCCTTCCACCCGTAGCTCACCTCGACTGGAGTTGCGTCGTATGTTAGCGCTGATGGCCCCGCGGGACGCAGTGGCAGCGATGGTACTGGTCCTGGGCCTAGCCAGTCGCAGACATGATGTCTGAAGAAGTCCACATGGGCCGCGATATCCGCCTCGGTATATGACTCGCTCGCAGTCAAGGCGTGTGCTAGATGCTGTTCAACCAGTTCAGCCCACCGCACTCTATCACTGTTGGTACGGCTCATTGTGTTCTGCCACACTGTCGGTTAGGCGTCCAAGCACAGTACATGTGTATCCGCATTGTGCGCGGGGCATGCTGTTGTCGTTTTATACCTGACAAAACAACCACCCTGGTCGGCTCAGGCCCCCTACATTAACTGTATATGTCCTTGATCAATAATCTCCTCGGAATCCGAAGTTGATCTAGGCCTTTCGCAAGCCTATGATAACTCTGGACTGATTGTAAAGTCAGCACGCATCACTCACCACCGTATCATTCTCACTGTAGTCGCAGAATAGACGTATTTTGCTTAGTTTCCTCCAGGTATCGTTAAGGGCCATGAATGTTAGACGTCTGTCGATCAACTCAGACCGGCCCGGACTCAGCTTTTCTTCACTAGCTCTTATTCTCCGGTTCAATCCAATACTTTATACACGACTTCCTTTTCACTAGTAATATGTTTTGATTTTGGATAGTCGGAAAACGGGACTCGGCAGAAAAGAGGTATCGTGTAGTACACCAGCCGTTCATAGTCTGAATACTGGCTCGAATGCTTAGTACAATGTGCTGTGCCATTTAGGGATCAGTTACCTATCATTTGAAGAATGAGTTGATGGTGTGATGATAGGTTAGTGGCCAATGGGGGTTAGTACGTCGGGAATATGTATCCATTATCGAAGCGATGAGCAAACACCATTACGTCGCAATAGGCAGAGCAACACAAGTCTCAGTCTTCATCTGAGCCATGAGAACGGTGTTTCCCCTGAACGTCGGTGCGCGTGCTGTGATGACGTGATGTGATGCTCCCCGGACTGTGGATCGGACCGTAGTAGTAGTGGTAGTACAAGCACGTAAGTAATACTGGAGTGCGGGGCATGCATCGTCACCGGCGCAGGGAAGCCTGGTCACTGGGGCTGACATGGTCCAAGTACAGGGCGGTAGCTAACCATGTGTACTAAGTATGTACCGATGCCACTTCTACCACGCATCGCAATCATAATTTCTATCGTTCCTTTTGCTCCACCCGGCTATTTGAACAGATGCGCATGGCTTGTTTGAGTGTGGGGAACGCCTGATGACGTCAGGCGGTTGTCAAAGAAACCCTGCATGTCCAGTCGCGTGCAAATGACGGCACCTGCGCACACTGTTGTTCTACTCTACTCTACTCCACTCCACTCACAGCGAGCTGAGCACCACAAACACCATGTACCTTTCTCTCTCCTAGTCCATCTGCACCTTCCATACTCTACGGCGCCGCAAATATGGATTCGCACGTACCGCGCGAGCTACCGGCTATGCCAAAGCGCAAACCAGTCGCTCCGCTCGCAGATCCTCTACCATCTTCGACATCGGAGCGCGAGCTTACCAGCAAACTCATCCCTAATTTCTTCCTTGTCGCCACCGCTCTTGCTGCACTGACTCTCTCCTGGCCGTCGCGATGGGTCATCTCGGGAGCGCCCACCTTTGTGTATGCCATCTTGCTGGGTGAAGCCCACGGACATCGCATCCTCCCGTTCGCCCCTGTGTGGACCATCTTCGCTACCGTTAACCTGGCATACGCGGTATGCGCAACATCATGGCTCCTCTACTGGGTCTTTTTCACCTGTTGCTGGCCAACTCTTCTCATCACGTGCCTTTACCAATTCGACGCCGCTGCCGCCCTCGCACGACGCAGTCTACGCAAAACATTTTTGCGCGATCTCCACTTCATCAACGACCAGATAGCCTTCTTTGACTTGCCGGCGCTGGAGATTGATACCGAGGTCAAAGGTCTCTTTGTCATTCGCGGCGTTACGCTATCGCTCTCGACAATGACGCTTGTTGCCCATGGCGTGGAGGCTGGGATCAAACTTTCCGATGATGTCGAGCTGGGCATACAGGTGGATAAAGTGGTTGTGCCATTGTTCCGCGAAATCACGGTCGATGACGTGTATGCAAACGTCAAAGGCGGGGAATGGGAAGTCACCTTTGGCGATGTCACGTATGGCGTTCCGGAACCAGACGATGATGACTCGATGGTCGTAACCAACACGGCTATACTTCGAGCGGCAACGCAAAAGGGCGGCATCACCGGTCGCCCGACCGACATGATGCGAAACTTCACCGCCGGAAAAGTCCCAACCGAGGCTCAGGACACCGCATCTGCCTTCTCATCCGTCAAAAAGGTGGCTCCGGACGAAGAGCAAGCACACACAAAGTACAAGGAGCTGATACGCTACATCGACGAAACTAGTGCCATAACCATCGCAAAGAAACAGTTGATCCAGGCTTCAAAGGCACGTAAAGATAGCAAAGTCGACTCAGAAAATGAGGAAAGAGAAGGGAAGCAGAGCAGAAAGGCGAGGGAAGAACCAGGGGTGCGACTCGATATCGAAAATATGGACGACTTTCGTGCCGCCATTTGTGCCCAGATTCACGGCCAGCCTTCCATACCCCACCCACCCTCCAAATCGATAAGAGTATCCACACTTCGCAAGACATCTTATCCCAACGTCAAAAAGTTCCTACACCGACTGCCATTGCTATACCGATTAATGCTCAGCCCTATTTGCTACTTTCACCCGGTCAAGTTCAAGTCCGTCACAGCCGCCGGATCAGGGAAATGGTTCACGGCACTCATGAAAAAGTATTTTTTCAAGCATTACTCGTCCCAGGATGCAGAGATTCGTAGACTTGAGGCGCGGATATCTTCCTGGTGCGCGGATGCCAATTTTGCTGTTGAACTGGGCCCAATTCAGAGTGAGGCGCAGTTCCCGATCAATACGAACTACAATATTCAAGCCAAGTTCAAGATCTCTGATGTTCTTGCCTACAGAATTCTGCCAGATGCTGTCGAGCTTAAACAAGTCGTCCGATTGGGAGGCGCAAATGCAACTCTCACAATACCCACTTTCTTGTTTCCTCACCATGAGCACATCTTCCCTGAAAAAGCAAGCGACTTTGAGTTACTCGAGATAGAGTCAGCCATCAACGAAGCTGAGCCTACTCCAAAACAGGCATTAGCTCGAAAAGAGCTCAAACGACTTAAGAGGGATGAAGCGGCTATGCATGTCAGTGCACATGCACACTTACCAGCTCAGTTCCATCAAGATCTGTTGAACTTTGTTGCCGCCATTGTCAAGGCCACAAAGGTCATTGAGTCGGATAAAGATTTTGAGGAGGCCAAGGTTCTACGAGAGCTCAAGCGCGTCAGCACCAACCTGTCCGACAGCGAGGCGAGCAGTGTAGCATCCGTTAACACCAACAACACTGAGACCACACAGACGACCATCAACGGAACTGAAGATAAAAGCTTCAAGGCTTTTCTCAAAAAAGTAGATACCGGTTTCAAGGAAGCGTCGAACAAAACCATGGTAGGTATGCGTAAAGCTGGACAAACCACCGTTCATGCAATGGCCAATGATCGTTGGATTGCTCGGCTGGTCGGTAAGGTGACCAGGAAGATGGAAAAGGTACAGGGAGAATTGGGATATAGCGTCGATGTTCCCATACCCTTGGCTAAGTACCGCGTGCGTCATGAGCTTGAGCCCAAGCTTCTACCGTGAATCGTTGCTGTTCACACACATTCTTGGGACGTTTGCAATATTGTATGATACCCCCTTCTAGGTTACAAAAAATTAATTTTACCGCTTGATAGTGGTGTCCATATGATTTGTCGTCATGCGCCTAATTCAAAATGTACGCGTGATGTCCTGCTGGTTATGATTGCTGTTATTGTAGGATGTAGGAGGCGCTGCTTTTTTTTAAATCTCCAAACGAGAAGTTGCTGTTTCCAACTTCATATTTCTTTTATTAATGTAGTTCGCTTCTACCCTTTTCTACAAGATGGCTTGGTCCAGAAGGCAATGCACTTAGCAGGTTCAGCGCTGAAGCCTACTTTGAATAGTCAGTTCTAATCTAATAGCCTATTTTTTGTGTTCTTCAGCGGCCTGGTCCGCCTCGAGTGGATCGCTTAACTGATACGCCTCAATGAAGATGCTCGCGAGCAGTGCGATCGCTGCGATCGCTGCCGCTACGATCCAGATATATCTAAGTGCGTAAGTGAAGCTCTCAATCACTTGCTCTTTTACATCGCTCTTCGGCATAGCTTTGATGATCTGTACCAAGCCTATTGCATCTTTGGAATATTCCCTGGCTTTCCTAGCCAGGAGCGGCTTTGACAGCATCCTCTTCTCAATCATGTTTTGAAACACTACTCCGCCGACTGCAACACCGAGGGTCTGGCCAAGAGCTCTGGAAAACGTGAACATGTTTGTTGCGGAGGCCTGGTTTTCCGCGGTCGTAGAGGCCTGAACACCGAGAATCATGGCCGGATAGAGTACTCCGAGTCCAATACCACCAACGAGACTTATTGACGCCCATACGGCTGTTGGTGTATCGGATTTGAGCAGTACGAGGAGACTCATGCTGACCACCACAACACACCAACCTAGCCAATTCGCCCATCGGTATGCTCCCGTCTTCGATATAGCGATTCCGACAATCTGTGTCATGGTTAGCATTCTGTGTTGATATATAAACAGCCGAGAAACATACCATTGCAGTTGGGGCCAGCGTGAAGCTCCATGGAAACATGCCCACACCGGCCATGACAGGCGACATATCCTTTGCTGCCTCAAAATAAAGTGGAAGGTAAAACATTACCATTGATAGAAGGACGCCATAAACGACAGTTTGCATGTACGTGATTGATGCAGACCGGTTTTTGAAGATGGCAATAGGAATGAACGGGTTTTTGGCCACATACTCCTGGTGTAAAGCAAATATCATCAGTCCAGCAGTGCACATGGAGAGCGGTACGAGCGTACGCCATGAGTTCCAGGGGCATTCAACACCACCCCGAGTGATGGGGATAAGAAATCCCGTTGCCGATGTGAGAAAAAGACTCATTCCGACCCAATCTAACTCCTTCATCTTTGCGACAAGAGCTACATTGGCCTTATTGAATCTCAAAAATATCGCGATGGATATTCCGCCGATGCCAATAAACGGGATATTGATCCAGAAAATCCAGCGCCACAAGGCTTCTTTAGCCAAGCCTCCGCCTAGATTTCGATATGTTAATGCTATACTAGGTTCGAATGCATTGCAACTTACCAAGTAAAGGTCCTGTGACGGTGCCGAGGGACCACATAGCTCCAAGCGAGCTAAACCATTTCCCACGTTCTTTTAGAGGAATCTTGTCAACGACTATCAAGGCTGTTATGCACAGGATCCCACCTCCGCCTGCACCTTGGATGGTCCTTCCTACCAGTACAACTGTGAAATTCGTGGCAATAGCAATGACGATTGAGCCCACTAAGAAAAGAGTCATGCTAACATTAATGAGCGGTTTTCTTCCAAAGACATTTGAGAATGATCCTAATATTGGCTGAAATACAGTCGATGCGAGAAGAAACGAAGTGCCGCTCCAAAAAGCTTCCACAGCAGAGCCTGTAAGAGCTTCTGTAATAACCTTCAGCTTAGTTAGCTACTGCTACTACTAAGAAGCATTCAGAGATAGCAATGATATGGAGTGGCAAAGCTTACAGGCAATGCGACTGCTAAAGATGTAGCGTCAAGAGCAACCATTAGTACGACAATGCAAAGACTACCAAAAGCAGCCATCAAATACCGTCTGTCGCGGCCCTCATCTCTTTTGGGCTCAATTATTGAGAAAACATCTGGAGTCCCTCGGGTGGCAGATGTTTCCTCCATCTTCTTGTTAGAGCTGTAAATTTCGAGATGGTTGTGGGAGGTCCTCGGACTCTGGGGGAGGCGGGGGGCGAAGTACACTTTTACACCAAAGGCATCATGCTTATGAACGTCTACCCAAGTTCTGGCTCTGACATATATCGACGCTTTGTTGGAACGTCCAAGCGTTGATTGCCCTAAAAGTAAGCAGCTCGACCAAGGCGATCGGAACCATTCTAGCCATTCAACAAAGCTGGACGTCAAATAATTCTAAGGGATATTTGTTCGAGTCGGGATACGCTACTGTTTGTCGAATAGATGAGACAATGTCTGTTTGAAACTACTTAGCTGCAAAGTCAAGCACAGTCAGAAAACTGGCAAATCCAGTTCTTCGCTGTGAATGGATAAGTACTCGTCAATCTATCCAACGATTCTTGAATTTGAAACCTCAAAACCTGTATTTCTTTTTGTTCTCGACTATCGCATCAATAATGGGGTTGTAAAGTGTTCAGGTAGTAGTTCCTAGCCATGCTATAGTAATGGAACACCGCAATTGAGTTTTCTAAAAAGATTCACGCGTCTTCTAAGCCACGTGACAAAAGATCGCTGTAGATCTTTTGCAGCATGGTTGGCCAATAATTATCCCATGAACATCACATTGACCAGCGATTAAAAAAAGCAATTATTTTTCTCAACATTCTCACACCCGGCACTCGGTAACAAACAAGATGAGGGGGGAACGTTACATTGAGATATGCACCGCTAGCACAGATTTGGGATCTTGAAGAAACGGTGTTCCATGGAACTTTGAATCAGAAGTAGACGAGTCAAGTGAGGTGGAAGTCGGTCGTGGTTCTCACCGCTAGACCCAGGCACGGCTTCAGACTAGACGCGACACCGATGAGATAGGATGTCCGTTTTGCGTGCATATAAGGGCCAAAAAACAACACTTTCGAACGTTTCTGTTGACCGGTAAGCTGCTTTTTGTGTGTTCTTGTCTGTACGAGATGAAGATAAAAAAACAGCTATCGAGAAAGTCATTGGGTGGTATACACGAAGCTGCAACCACGATCCTGGATTCTTTGCACGGAGACTACCATTCTCGCTGGACATGTGATTCTAGGGCAATGTCCTTCCTTGTGCAGCGATAGGAGCGCTCCCCTGAGCTACGGTAGAGTAAAGGGTTTATGCAAACGAATGCTTTTTGATGCAGTTTGATATCCACCGCGATGTTCGCTTGCGACTACGCTAACGAGAATAAGTAAACTAGGATGCAGTTGTGAAGGGGGCCTCACGTGAAACTGAGGTAGATAAGTTTGAACGCAAAGCAGCAGAAAACTTGTCAAACATAATCTCGTCAGGCTTCAGTTATTGTTCTGGTCACGAAGTAAATTGTTTCTATAAATGCACCGATAACTTTTTACGTTTTAGATCAACAAGATGGACATGCGATCAGACCCAATTGCCATTTGTGGCATGGCTCTTCGCTTGCCTGGCGCGCTCAAAACACCCGCGCAGTTCTGGACATTTCTCACGGAGAAGAAGGATGCTCGTGCACCCATTCCTCTGACACGGTTCAACGCCGAAGCTTTCCATTCGGCTTCTGGAAAGTCCGGCTATATCAACTCAACATATGGCTACTTTCTGGACGAAAGCGCTGAAGTGGGCGCTATTGACACTTCCTTGTTTCGCATGTCGCAACAAGAATCGGAGCGCATGGATCCTCAGGTCAAATTCCTTCTAGAGCTTGCAAGAGAGTGTTTCGAAAGCGCTGGAGAGATCGGGTGGCGCGGAAAAGACATTGGGACATATATCGGGTCATTCGGAAACGATTGGTTAGAGATGGCTACCAAAGACCGTTTGAACAAGAGTATGTACAAGGTCACTGGTCACAACGACTTTTCGCTCTCGAATCGGATAGCGTATGAGTACGATCTCAAGGGTCCGAGTATGACTATCCGGACAGCATGTTCCGCATCCCTTCTGGGATTACATGAAGCATGTCTCGCAATACGGAACGGTGACTGCAGTGCAGCTCTGGTTGGCGGCTGTAATCTACTTTGGAGTCCCGATACTATGTCCGATATGTCGGAACAAGGCGTCACCTCACCCAACGCATCTTCTCGATCGTTCGATGCAGATGCAGATGGGTACGCGCGTGGAGAAGCTGTCAACTTGATTTACGTCAAACCGCTTAGTGCTGCTATCAGGGATGGAAATCCTATCCGCGCCATCATCCGTGGATATGCTACGAATGCCGATGGAAAGACTCCTGGGCCGAGTATGCCCAGCTCTTCGAGCCAAGAGGAAATGATGCGTAGAGCATACCAGACTGCTGGGATCCCAGAATCTGACATCACACGAACTGCATTTGTTGAATGTCACGCAACGGGCACCACCACAGGCGATCCTATCGAGGCTACAGCAGTGGGGAATGTATTCGGACATGGCGGAGTCTACATTGGGTCTGTCAAGCCAAATGTTGGTCATTCTGAAGGCGCATCGGGAATTACGTCCATCATCAAAGCCGTCTTGGCTTTGGAGAATCGTGTCATACCACCAAATATCAAGTTCAAAACACCAAATCCCAACATCCCATTCCATGACAAGGACTTGAAGGTGCCGACTAGTTGCATCGAATGGCCTGCGGACAAATTCGAGCGAGTCTCTGTCAACAACTTTGGAATCGGAGGTGCTAATGCTCATTTCATCCTCGATTCTGCTGCATCGTACAGCGGGATTTCGAATGCAGTCGATGTAGAGCAGAATGCGTCATCTCTAAACTCTGTGGGATTGGGTAAATTATTCTTGGTATCAGCAAACACATCAGAATCTTTGGAGATGCAAACCCGGAATCTTCGGGAATATGCATTGTCAAATCCAACGAACGCCGATCACGGGTCATACACATTAGCTTGCCGACGCGAGCACCTTACGCATCGCGCCTTTGGTGTGGTACAGGGAGGATCGATCGACTCACGCGTTGGAGTTTCCATCGCTGGGTTGTCGTCGCCGCGGCTATCTATGATATTCACTGGCCAGGGTGCCCATTGGCCGCGTATGGGCATTGAACTTTTACAGTTCAACGATACATTTGCCTCTTCTATCAAAGCGATGGATGAAGAGCTCAGGGGGCTGCCAAAACCACCTACATGGAGCATCCAGGAAGAACTCATGAAAAGTGAACTCTCCAGTAATTTGGGGAAGGCTGCTATTGCTCAGCCGTTGTGCACTGCGATCCAAGTGGCTCTAGTAGATACTCTAGCCGATCTAGGGATCAAACCTCACTGTGTGCTTGGCCATTCATCAGGAGAAATAGCTGCAGCATATGCGGCAAACAGGATATCCCGTCGAGCGGCCGTAACTCTTGCTTACTACCGAGGCCTTGTTTCACAAGCTGTGTCTGGGGGTGGTGCGATGGCTGCAATCGGTCTGAGCTGGGATGAGATGACTGCATTTCTTCAAGAGGGTGTGGTCCTTGCATGCAACAACTCGCCTTCGAACGTCACCATTTCGGGCGACGAGGTAGCTGTACGAAATGTTGTGGAAGCTATCCAAACCAACAAACCTGATGTGTTTGTGCGCATGTTGAAGGTGAGCACGGCATACCACTCGCATCACATGTTCAACGCTGGTATTGAATACGAGGAAATGATGGCATCAATTCTCAATGATCAAGTTCCTCAGACCGGAGCGTCTACAAACGCATGTTTTTTCTCAACGGTAACCGGGGCACTTTTGCCAGATTCCGACCATATTGACGCGCGGTATTTCCGTCGCAACCTCGAATCACCTGTCCTCTTTTTACAGGCTTTCGAAAGCCTTTTAGCTGAGTTCAAAGATACTCCGCATCGCAATCTTTGTTTTCTCGAAATAGGACCTCACAGCACTCTTTCGGGACCGCTTCGGCAAATCTTGGCGAAACCTTCTCTTGTCTACTCATACGCCTCATGCCTCCAGAGAGAGAAGAAATCAGTTGGAACACTGCTCGCAGCCCTGGGAACACTTTGGCAATACGGCTTGGATTTCGACCTCTGCCGACTAACGAATCCGCTCAATACTGCAAAAGTGCTAACAGACATGCCACTATATCCCTGGCATCACAGCAACATACATCTGTTTCACAACCGCATTATTCAAGCGTGGCGACATCCCAAATTTGCACATCACGAGCTCTTGGGGTCATCGGTATTGGATAACGCCGATGATCAGCCTAGCTTCCGAAACCTCATTCATCTCGAGAGTCTTCCTTGGCTGCGGGACCACAATGTTGATGGCGTTATTGTCTTTCCAGGTGCTGCATACGTCACCATGGCTGGGGAAGCTTGTCGGAGACAATTCCTATCTGACCAGGACTTCAAATTTCTTGGTTTCAGTGTGAAGAATATGGTCATTGGTACCGCGTTGATCCTGGAAGAAAGCAACCCAGTCGAGATCGTTACTTCTCTAAGAAGATGGCGTATTACGGATCATTTGGAGAGTAACGGCTGGGAGTTTACGATATCATCATACTCAGGAACTACGTGGACAAAACACTGCTCAGGCTCCGTTGAGTCAATCATCTCTCCACCTCCTCCTGCATCAGTACATGAAAATAATTTTCCACGGAAGACAGATACCACAAAATGGTACCAAGCTATGTGGCACGTTGGGGGCAGGTATGGGCCCTGCTTCCAAGGACTAAAGGACATCGAGTGTACTCCAAACAGTCATAGTGCGAAGGCCACCGTCTGCGATAAAACCCCCGATGATTGCGAATCGCATTATCTGTTACATCCAACAACAATCGATGTATTTTTCCAGGCAATAGCTCTGGCTGCATGTAACGGACAACCACATACGATTGACCGAATGAGTGTGCCCACATTCATCAAGAACATACAAGTTTTCAACTACTCGGGTGACCTTCAGGTGCAAACCTCAGCGGAAGGACTGGCGCATGGTAGAGTCCATGGTGGGGGCTGTGCCATTAGTGCAAATGGGTCGCTTGCTATGAAGGTAGACCAACTCAAGCTCGTGCCTCTAGATACTATATTTGAGACAGATCCTCATGCTGGCGCCTCGGTAACATGGATGATTGAGCCCAGCTTTACAACCATGTCAAGCTTTCTCGAGTATAGCGCCGAGTCCGTCAAATGCGCACCAATCATTCAAGAGATGACTTTACTCCACATCCGAAAGGCCTTGGAGCAAATTCAATCCATCAAACCAGCATCGGGTACGATGGAAAGATTTGTGAATTGGATGAAGAGGCAAAGCATTCCGGATACATTGCGATCCACGGAAACTGTGACAGCGGAATTCAAAGCCATGTCATTCCCTGGCACTATGAATGCGATCAAAAAGATCAGTGAAAACATTGTGCCGCTAGTACTGGAAGAAATCTCTGCAATAGAGCTTTTAGTGGCTGATGACACATTGACAAAGCTGTACCAAGAGATCAAAGTCACTGATCGAGGGCCACACTTGAAGCTTCTTGGACATCAGAAACCGAACATGCGCATCCTCGAGATTGGAGCGGGAACCGGAGGAACAACTCGCGAGTTCCTTTCTAATTTGGTGAATGATTCAGATGGAGGCAGGCTATGGTCCAGTTACACTTATACGGACATCTCGGCCGGGTTCTTCGGTGCTGCTAAAGAGACTTTCAAAGACTATGCACTCGAATACAAGGTTCTGGACATCACGAAGGACCCTGTGGCTCAAGGCTTCCAAAGTCATGATTTCGATCTTGTCATCGCCACCAACGTCATACATGCGGTTCCCAGTCTCCAGCAAGCGCTACGCAATGTTCATAGTCTATTACGTCGTGATGGCACATTCTATCTTGAAGAACTGTGCCCAGATGTAAAAATGATTAACTTCACCATGGGCCTTCTTCCAGGATGGTGGCTAGGCGAAGGCGATGGGCGCGCTGATGAGCCATATGTACAACCTGACAGATGGGATAGCGAGCTTCGCGCTGCTGGTTTCACAGGGGTAGCGGATTGCATGCTAGACGCCCCACGTCCACACCAGGGCAACGCATTTATGATAGCCTACCCTCTCGCCGAGGAGGTGCTTCCCAAGCCTCTCACACTGCTATTTGATGACAGTACACAGCGAGTAGTCGAGGATTTGAACACTGAGTTATCTCAAAATGGCTACTTCGAAACTACCGTTCAGCACTGGGATACTGCAACAATGACACGCAAGGGGGACGTCATATGTTTGCTCGATATCAGCGAATCTTTCTTCTCAAACATCAAAGCCTCCCGTTTCGACAAATTCCGCTCATGGCTGAATCAAGTCTCAGAATCAAAAAATGGTATTCTCTGGTTAACTCGGAGCTCTCAGCTGAGTTGCGAGCACCCTAGATGGGGGCAAACACCTGGAGCCATGCGTTCAATTCAGAAAGAAATGGGAATTGATTTGGCAATCTGTGAAGTCGACCGGCTAACGAACGTGAGTTGGAAAGCGATTACACAGATTGCAGAAAGGTTCTCTCGTCGCCATTTATCGAGCTACGATTTGGAATTGGAGTACGCTATTGAGAATGGCAAGATATATATACCACGGTTGTATCCTTTGCTCATCAACTCGGAACTTCGGGAACCCGCTCATTCTGCGACTCCAATGACCCGGAGAGAGGAAGACAAGCGTAATCTAACACTGGGGACAGCGGGCAGGCTGGACACGCTCCAGTGGACTAATGTCCCATGCGAAAGACCCATTGAAAACCAAGTTGTGGTCGAAATTATGGCGACAGGTCTCAATTTCAAGGTAAAGCTCAAGCATCTGCATCTCCAATCGCTGGGAACCCACAGAGAGCTAACCATCGTAGGATCTGCTGACCGCTATGGATCTCATCGAAGCACCGCGCCAAGTCCTCGGATTGGAAGCGGCAGGAATCATTCGAGAAATCGGATCAGAAGTTGGCGATTTCCAGATAGGGGACCGTGTCGTTATTATGGGCAATACAGGTTTGTTCACAACAAAAGCGGTCGTACCCAGCATGACGTGCTGGAAACTCCCCAATTCTCTCTCTTTTCAAGAAGCCGCAACTATGCCTTGTGTATTCTTGACCGCCATCTATGGACTGCTCGATATCGGTCAGATGAGTGCTGGGCACACTGTTCTGATTCATTCTGCATGTGGTGGAGTCGGCATCGCGGCTATCCAGCTATGTCGCATGGTAGGGGCAACGATCTACTGTACCGTCAGTACCGAAGAGAAGGTCAAGTTTCTAGAAAACGAATTTGGTATACCACGCAACCATATTTTCGACTCACGCAGTCGGTCTTTTGTGGCTGATGTTATGCGCGCCACCGATGGCGCTGGAGTGGACCTTGTCCTTAACTCGCTTTCAGGTGAACTTCTCCATGCATCTTGGGAATGTGTGGCGAAACTCGGCAAGTTGATCGAAATCGGGAAACGAGACTTATTAGCAAATGGCCGAATATCTCTGAGTCCTTTTGCTGAGAATCGGAGCTTTCATGGCATTGAACTCTCTCTTCTCTTCGAAAATCGACCCACGGAGTGTCCAAGGCTTCTGAAGAAGATGATAGATTTTTACGAAGCAGGCCACATCAAACCCATCTTTCCCATAAAGTCCTTTGCAATGGCCGAAGTGGAGCAATGCTTTAGGTACATGCAACAAGGTCGACATATCGGCAAGGTTATCATGTCTGTAGGTGATCCGTCGGATCAGCCCACTGAACCGAAAGAACCAATCACACAAAATCCCAAGCGCAGTCCGAAGTTCAACCCACAAGCATCGTATTTGCTTGCCGGTGGCCTTGGTGGCCTAGGCCGTGTTGTGGCCAATTGGATGGTTGAGCATGGCGCACGACACCTAATATTTCTTTCTCGAAATGCAGGAGAAAGGGAAACCGACAAAGCATTCTTGGAAGAACTCGAGTACCAAGGATGCAAAGTGATGGCAGTGAAGGGGAGCGTTGCTATTGTCAAAGACGTGGAGAAGGCTATTGCTGCTGCAACTGCTCCTCTACGTGGTGTGATGAACATTTGCATGGAATTGCAGGACATGGGATTCCGCGAGATGACCCATGAGGCATGGAGCACTGTCAACGAGTCGAAAATCAATGGTACATGGAATATGCACAACGTGTGCATGTCCAGAGAGATAAGTCTTGACTTCTTCCTTCTCTTCAGCTCGGTCACGGGTGTGTTTGGCAACTTTGGCCAAGCAAACTACGCAGCGGCGAACACCTTCCTCGACACTTTTGTACTTTATCGACATTCCTTGGGCCTGAACGCTTCTGCTGTTGACATCGGTATGATGTACGACCACGGATATGTCGCAGAGAATCCGCTACTTGCGGAACGAATGCGGTTGCTTGGTTCGTATGGTATCGGAATACCACAGCTCTTGGACGCAATCACGCTCATTCTAAGCACCCCTAGAGCCAAGCTGAACAAAGTTACATCACGGACATGCTCTTCTCTATTGGGCATTGGTGTTCGCAGCGGGCTATCGCTGTCTGATCCTTCGAATCGCGTATTTTGGAAACACGACCGGCGAATGTCATATTACGTCAACCTCGAATCATCGGCGCACGTAGCTTCTGGTGCAGCCTCCAACGAGGATGAACCCACGCGGGTCATCAGAGACTTCATGCAGCAAGTTCTTGCTGAGCCAAAACTTCTCGACCAGCTCGATACCCCGGTTTTCCTCGCGCGACAGATTGCAAGAAAAATCGCGCTCATGCTTCTTCGACCCCTTGATGACAAGGAAGACAGCGAGGTTGATATATTGAGCCCGTTGCAGGATGCTGGCCTGGATAGCTTGGTTGCTATAGAGATGCGGAGGTGGTGGAGGACGACATTTGGCTTCGACATTACCATGCTCCAGATGATTGGAGCTGAGAACATGTTGGCACTTGGTGATCGGGCTGTTGAAGGACTGAGAACTAAGTACGCAGAAGTTGAAGAACAACCAGTAACCCTGACACCTGCTGTCACTGTATCGGCTTGATTTGGGGTTCGGGAGGGCCTTGGGGCCATAGTACGCACTAGGACAAATACCTGGACGGGAAGTTGGTCGAGAAAATGTCGCACCGCCCCCTATGTGCCGTTGATCAGAGGTTCCCTCGTTTATTCTCACTTTTCAGGCTGCCCATGTTTGTATACGATTTTGAAATCTGCATTTATCCGTTAGATTAGTATTATCTGGCCCCATATACCCTCGCGATAAGCATCGCGGAACCATAGTAGACAAGTTCTTTTAATGATTTTCAACATTTGCCGTCTCATTCTCAGATTTCAACGAATAGATGCAGCATAGCCTAGAACGTGTCTTAAAAAAAACGTCATATATTTTTGCCACCCCTACTCCTAACAGGAAGGTAGAGCACGGCTGCGAATAAGTCTTACAATCCAACATCGCCTTTCTCTCTGATAAATGAATTCAGGATGCAGGTGCCGATAAGGCTACTACACTCGTCGATCGATTAAGGCAGTGGAGCAGTTTGGGGGCTATCTTGGGTAGAACTAGTGCTTAGCCAAGCTTCCTTCAGTCACTTGTAAGAGGAAAGGTTTTTGTTAGGCCCCAATGTCGGTTAGCAGTTAGATGTCAGCCCTGCACGTGACTTTCGTAGTCACTCTCAATCTTATACCCCCAACACTCTAGTCAAGGATTTTTCGTAGGATGACGGCTCTCTCTTTTTTCACAATGTCTTTCAAGTACACTGGAGATTTTCCGATGCTTCTCAAGCGCGCTGGGAAACTTTTGAGAGTATTGTATCTCATTGAGAGATCTGATATTCCTGCTGTCTCTATACCAACAGTAAGATTTTGCATGGATGATAAGCTATCGACGCTGATCAGAGAACAGGTTGTCGTGGCACTTGCGATTTCAGGGGTGCCCAGTGTGCCCTTGTTTATCAAGGGAGTAGTTTGGTGTCAACTGCATCTGTTGGCTTTTGAAGTATGTGCACGAAGTTCATGCTCCGCTCTGAAGCACATTACACTAATATGCGAATAGACAAAGAATCAGGTGATTTGGACTATACTTTGCAAGGTTGGGTAGCTGGTACTAATGCAGTGAATAAGATTGTCGGTCTTGAAGAAGATCGCATTGCAAAACCGCATCGCCCACTTCCCTCTGGCCTCATCTCGTTGGAAGAGGCCCACATACTTTACCGCTGCCTGTTAGTATGCATGTGGATCGCGGCTTTCCATTGCAACACTCTTGTTTGCACCATTGCATATACAGCCGCCATCACGATTTACAATGAAGGCGGATTTGCTGCTTTTGCCAGTTTGAAGAGTGTCATTGGGGCTTTCGGCCTGATGTGCAAGTGTTGGGGAACCACAGTTACTTTTGGTGAGTGCGCAATCTATACAGATTGTCCACCCAAGACTATACTAACATGCGACAGCCAACGGGGAAGATTTGCATGGCAAGAAAGCCCTGGCGATTCTCATTTTCGGTCTCATTTTTTCAACTACTGTAAGTCCTTGAGCAGCGAGCAAGTGAAAGCTAAATTGATTTTCTCCGTGATAGGGGCACGCACAGGATTTCCGTGACCGGTCAGCAGATGCAGTCATGGGGAGAAAGACGATACCGTTGGTGCTTTCTCAACCCATAGCCAGGTGGTCGCTTGCTGTCTTGATCGCGGCGTGGACAGCAGGGCTGATTATTTTTTGGCAACCTCCCATGGTTGTCAGTATCGCCTTTACCATTCTTGGGCTTCGAACATTAGGCGGCTACCTAAGGAGTTATGAGGAGAAAGACGATTCCGTGTCGTATGTTTACTACGGGGTAAGATTGTTCTTTGAGGCTAAAACAGCGAAGAAATACTAAGATGGTTGCAACAGATCTGGCTGCTGGGTAGCAACATCCTGCCCTTCTTTCCTCGAATGAGGGGAGAATTTAATTGAATAAGCTTGGTGCATGGAATGAGTTAGATAGATGATAGACCAAGAGTAGGAGGAGGTCAGGGGTGTGGCAAAGGGAGTACAATAGAATGGGTCGAGAGTAAACATTTGCGGTACCAGGAAGAGGTTCATTCTTAGCCTCTATGGACATGGTTGAGGACGAGCTTAGAATTATCCTGGTTCAGTTTTGGTATCAGTGATGGTCATGAGTCAGAATAGGACAGTGTAATGCGCTAGCTTGACTAGTGGGATACCGTCCGAGCTCCCCGCAGACGATGACAGCATAGATTATTGCTCGAATCATAAACTTTGACCTGCAACAGCACAGAGCGTTACCACGTCAATTGCATACCCAAACATGGAGCCAACCATATCCAGGTGTATCCGTACTTTTTCACGACTCTCGATACAAATACCATGTCGTTCAAATGTGGCGAGATGCAGGCCATCGCCATTTACACGCTCATGTCATGCACAATGGCTGCACACGACGCGCCCTGCCCTTGCCCAATCCCGAGCCCCAAAGACACGCGATCGAGGGCCGAAAAGCAATGAGGATACTCAGACAGACTTCAGTGCTCTGGATTTGCTTCGAAACACCGCGGCTCCTGCCACCTCCATCGACGCATGTACAGGTGATGGCTTCGCACTCAACAACCAAATGCGCATCAGCGGCAGCGGCATCTTACTTGTGGGCGGCGAGGCATTCCGGTGGCGGCCGTGGCTATATGAACAACGAAAAGAAGGCACAGTAGGAGAAGGGGGTTCGGGCGAAGATGCAATGACGGGCAAATTGCTGAATGCCAAGAGACAGTGGGAGGTGCCAGAGCAGGTGTGGGGTGTGTTGGAGCTGGTATATCCTAAGCCTGGTATGCGGCAATACGGCTTTTTAGTTTTCCAAAGATATTGCCCAGCTAACAGTACCTTGACAGATCTTCTCATCATCGGAACAGGCCCTAACACCACGCCTATCGCGCCTGCGGTTCGCAAGTATCTGAACGGCCTAGGCATTCGACTCGAGATTCAGGACACGAGGAATGCAGCTGCACAATTTAATCTTCTCGCGACGGAGCGCGGAGTTGGACAGGTCGCGGCAGCGTTGATACCGATCGGGTGGAGAGAAGGGCGTTGAGAAGGAGACTAGCCAGCGAATAAAATGGCCCTAGAAGAACACAACAAGAGGTGTTCAAGGGCACAAGCTGGCAGTGGCGGTGAACACGTATGAGTGAGTAGGCACATCTCATCTGCACTCTTGTCTTTTAACCTTCGATTCTACGTGCTGCCACTGCTTTGTATATTTTTCAATCCTTTGTTCCTGGCTGCAAGCAGGCCTTTACATACGACACCACTCTATCCTTCGTTTTGCCAACCTTCATACCTGCACAAGTCCCTTTCGTTTCCCTAAAGTCATTCAAGTTTCCCTTATTTTCTTTCGACGGCAAACGCGCTCGTCATCAAAGGGCAAAGTGACCCACCAGTACCGGTCCCAGCACCCCTCTGCCTGCCTCATCTCTTTGTCCAACCAGTATCTCTTTGGTTACTAGCATCTCACAACGGCACAGGCATATGTGTCTCGACCATCTTGTTCATAGGCCATCAGCTATATTCGCGGTCCTTCTCCGTCTGGCTGCGCGAATCTTCCAGAACACGTTCAACGCCGGTACAAGGTGGGGTTTCGGCACACGATTTGAGGTGGGAAACAGGGAAGCCGTCATGGACACCACGCCTTTACTTAAGCAAGACCACTCTAGCGCCTATCAACCCCATCGCGACATGAACCACCTCACCACCCCGCATACACCACCAGCCTTATCAAATCTTCATAATCCGCCGCTTCCGCTTTCACCCAACGTCAGCTCCAGACACTTGGCCCTCGCATCCCTGCAATCGGGCACCTTAACCCTGGAGTCTTCCCTAGCTTGTATGCAAATTTCAGAATCAGGCAATAGTTCACACAACATGAGAATATCTTGTATCGAGAGGCAGTCGCTACATGCCATACTTTCGCCCGTGCGCGAGGATTTGCAAAAGCTCAAAACATTGACGCCCGAAAGTCTGCCACCTTACAGTCCACGCGTTCGAGCCAAGAGCCATGCTCAGATCCTTAAGCACAAGCTTCTGCCCATCGGTCAATTTATTGTCAACTATCTCGATCCTGTACCGGAACAAGGTCGAGGGGCCCTGGAGCTGAAGTTATGTCGCGTCATCACGACGGAGTACTGGCCGTTGCCTGTTGACGACTTCACTCATTTGAAGGTCCAGGAAATGTATCGAAATGCCCTCTTCAAGATTGGTCAGCACAGTACAGTTATTCCACCATCGGAGCATTATCCAACGAATTCACTGCCTAGCCATTCACTTGCCAAATCATCTTCTCCTACAAATACACTGTCTTTCAGCTCGGCCAACAATACAGAGATGGATACTGGCGGTGGCAGGTCTCCAGACCAAATGCACCAGCTCGACTAGGGGACCGATTCAGACATTGCCACAGTGAATACACAAGCCAAAGTGAGCTTGGTGGGGAAACGCTGGTTACTCGTGGTATGGTCCATTCCACTTTTGGAAAAAGTGATCATGTTCTACTTGGTAGCGTAGTATACTATATTGCCACTCATCAATAGCTGGGAACGCGGAAGAGCTCTTTCCAGCAGAGTGGAGCAAGTACTTTTGCAGAAGGCTGCTGATATCTGAGTTTGATTCGAAGAGAATGGCATATTCAATGTCATAAATTTTCGTGTGTTTTAAACAATTCAAATCATTCCAATATTCTTTATTTGTGGCTGTCCATTTCAAAAGCTTCAATTTGTACGCTACCTCTTCACAGATCACTTTCAACATTACCTTTCTCTCAACAGGCAGCGACGGAATAAATCAGAGAAGTGCAGGATAGCATAGATGTCAGTGAGTAGAGTGCTGTGGAAATGTGCTTAGGTCAGAATTTCTTGATTGCAATACTACCAATTTCCATAAGATACCAGCTAGAAAATCGCAGCCTACTGCACACCGAGCGCCTCATAAATCGCCACCAGCAACTTCCTCATCCGGTAGTTTCCCATGCCCTTCTTTTCTCCCTTCTCGTTTGGCCCCAACCCCGCATTCGCCATCTTGTTCATGACATATCCAATTGTAACCTTCCTCTCTGCATCCGCAATGCCCTGGCTACCGCCCCAACCGCCCCAACTCGCGACTCTGCCCTCTGGCAGATTCTCGTTCATCGAGCCCGCAGCAGGCAGTGCGAAACCAAGACCGAATCGCACCGGGATGCTGACGACGAGATCGGCGCCGTGCTGTTGGGTGGTGAAAATCTTGTCCATGGTGGCTTGTGACAAAAATGACGATGGGTTCTCAGGCGCAGACAGGGAAATAGCGGATAGGATGCGGACGAGAGCGCGGGCATTGGAATATCCGTTTGAGGCCGGTAGCACGGATTTCCGCCACAACTCTTTGTTTGCCATCGTTGCGTCCATGCCAGGGTTCTTGAGCAGCGTCCGAAAGGCGATGCTGTTTGGATCTTTCATCGCCGCAGCCACGCTGGTTAGATCCGTGATTGGCGGCGGTGGCACAATTTCCGCTACCCTATCCCAGTCTTTTTCCTGCGCACCAAACTGAAAATCTGCATCGAGCGGGGTGGTGATTTCGCGTTTAACAAATTCGTCGATGGGGAGGTGCGTGACTTTTTGGATCAAACCCGCGATGAGGTGGCCCATGGTGTAGGCGTGATAGCCACTTGCAGTGCCGGGCTCCCACCACGGCGCCTGTTGGGCCAGCAGGTTTGTGCTCCTTTCCAAATCACATATATCTTCAAACGTGACGTTTTCGTGCCAGCCGCTCAGCCCCGTCGCATGGCTCAGTAGATGCCGCACCAAGACTCCTTCTTTCCCATTTGCCGCAAACTCGGGCCAGTACTTTGATATCTTTTCGTTTGGATCCACGAGTCCGCGGTCGATGCAGAGGAGAAGGGCAAGGGCGGCGACAAGTTTTGAACTTGACCATACGCATGTGATTGTGTCTTTTTCCCAAGGCTTGGTTCGCGCGACGTCAGCGTAGCCGCCCCAGAGGTCAATCACATCAGTACCGTCGATGTTAACGCAGAGGGAAACCCCCAGTTCTTCCTCGGTGTCGAGATATGATTGTAAGAGTGATTTTACTTTGGTAAAGCGTGGATCGCAAGTTCCGTGGACTTGGGCTGCCATTGTGCAATATTGAATCAAGTGATGAGCTAGTTCAAAAAAATAAAAAGAGACCTTGCTGACGACTTCTTCGCCGTGCCTGCTACCCTTGCAGTTGTGAGTTGAAAATAATCCAGAAGCAAATGAGCTACTGCACATATATATATATATACTTGTTGTTTTCCCCAAAATGCAGCCAAGCGGGGTTCCGCCAGCGGTATTCCGCGGCTTTCGATGCTGCCAACCCGCTCCAGGTCAGCTCATGGAATTCATTCCGTAATCTAAACTCAGCCACTGAACTCAGCCATCTAGTATCGGATAAGAATACGAACTGCTGTTGTAGTCCTCCTTGTTTTCTTACTACACCCTACCTGCAACTCGTCGGTATACTACGCCTCAACCTTGAAAAACAAACCAGTTCGGTCATCACAAGGATGCATTATATCAGTGCAAGTCGTGAATAGTTTCTATTCAAGATTGATGCTCCTGGTTTTATCATACTTTTGGGTGCCGTCAGCTTTCGTAGAGCTACTGGCAGACCTGTACAGGGCCCGTGTTTCGAGTACCTTCCACGTCTCGCTTCCCGTATTTGCACCAATAATCCAATTGCTGGGACGTTACTCGGATATTTCCTGTACAACATCACAGATGTCATCAAGGCGACGGATCTAGCTTCTTGGTTCCCATATTGGCTATCGTGTTAAGGCCTGTGCCGGCAGAAAACTACACTAGAAATAGTGTAACAGTGAGACAGAATGGTGCCTGGCTGAGTACTTGCGAAATCGTAATTCTCTTCCCAACACCTCCCATAAGGTCGAGGGCCTAAAATTCGATATACTAATATCTCCATGTAACGAGTATTATAGAAGTAAAATCATTACATGAAAAGAATTTAAGATCAAGATATCTGCAGGAATTAATATACGAGGCTGAGAAGTAGGGGCGGTTGGTTAAGACCATATTCGGCATTTCCGGTGAAGAGGCACCAAGCAGGCTGCATACCCTGCAGATCATGGTTGGTTCAAATTACAAACTGCTTCGGGAGAAAGTACAAAACGAGATAAGAAAGTCAGTCAGCCTGCATATTTCGCTACGTAAGTGGCTGGATCCTTCCCTGAAGCTCGTTTCCAGATCATGTGATTACCGCCCCACGATGGTTAGTAACTTCTGATGTGCACGGGTATTGAACCTTCACTGCTTATCCTTAGGTAGGGAAAGAGTCCTTCTTGTAACTCGTAGCACTTTCTTAGTTAAGAGTACTGCCTCATAGCACGATAGTGAGCCCTATTTAGGCTTATCGCGAGTCTCTTTGTCCTATCGCCATTATGTCGCACACGGCGCAAACTGAGAAAGGACAAGACGCAAAAACTAGGGCTTACTCCATTCTTCCTGTTAATAGCTGCGTGCAGCCCATGGAAGATGGATAGAATCCACTGGATTACAACGCTCCGCCAGGGTGGCCCAGAGAACCCCAGCCGCTCGTCAGGAGCAACCTCGTCGTCTGGGGCAAACTAGCTCTCTTGGTGTTACCTGTGATGCTTCTGGGTATGTCTACGTACATGTCTCTTATGACTTTCAAATCAAGGCTCATTTTCTCTAAGCCTTGGCATCGATTGCGTACACCTTCCACGAGAAACCTGTCTCATTGGATGGAGCCACACTACAGCGTGTCATGCTTCTTGGTCCTACCCTTTTCCCTCTGGCCTTCGTTGCACTTGGCGGTCATAGCTTGAAGAATATTGCGCTTTGGAAGGCTCAGCGAGGCTCAACTACTGGAGTAGGCGACAGAACTATTTCTTGCGATACTATTTATTAACATGCGGCAAGTGCTTGAAAGTTTACATGGAAACCAGAGTTTCGTCAGCGCTATCTGTATTGCTATATCCCTCCGATCGTGGAGCGTACTATCATTCGCCATACTTCTACTATGGTCTCTCTCACCACTTGGTGGTCAGAGCTCATTGCGTCTCTTACACGAAGCCAACTCCACGGTTGTAACATCACGACCAGTGTACTATCCCGACCCAGGCGCATACAGCTCTCTGGCCTCTCTCGGATCTGCACATTACTTGAATCAAATGAGAGCTATCATCTCGACTAGCATATCAACCACGGACACGCTCCAAAATAGCCCTGTAGACATTTGGAATCATCCCAAGATCCCGCGACTTCGGCAACTGGAACAAGCTGACTTGGGTCACGATTCACAAGATCAATGGATTGATGTTAACGAGGACACAACTGCATATACGTCTTTAACCGGTCTAAGCGTACTAGGTTTACACGCTAATAGCATCGTAATCTTTTCGGTTATCCACGAATGTAGATGAACAGGGATCTTAGCTTGTATAGACTATCTCTCAATTAGCTAGATACATAGTATCTGCCTTTCAAACTAGTACAGAAGCTCTAATAAGACGAATATAAAGAAAAGGCTTCTATAGTATAAAACTTAAAGAACTTCTTATGAGACGTCGCTTTATTAATAGAAATCCAATTTAACACTAAACTGGATTTGGATATTTTAGATTTTCCTTTCTATTTGTAGAGAAAGAGAGATTTAAATTTTCAATCTTATAAATTTCTTAACATCGCAGTAAGAGAGTTTTTTAAGGTCTTCAAGAAAACACACCGCCCTAACCTCTTCTTCTCATTGATAAAGATAAGAAAATTATAGATATTCAGCTCTAGATACTACAATTTAGTATATTATACCCTTCCAGAGAGAACGTAGTAGCTTAGGTGGAGCTGAGCTGGGTGTCGTCACAACCTATCCGAGCGACACTCAGATCAACGAGCCAGCACATTTCTCCAATCTGCACGCAGATATAAGCCCTTTACTAGATACAACTCTATTGCACATGTCATTGCTCTTGACACAGCGCCCCCTTGATCCTGACTGCTGACATGCTGTGGCTTTGGCTGAAGTGGTTACACCTGCGGCTTTTGCAAAGACTGTGCCACTACGCTCCAATACAATCGCAATTCGATGCGTTACACTTATGTGGAGACATACATTGAGTAAATTGCCCATGATCGCATGATTGGCATACCCCAGTATGGCAATCCTAGGGCAATTAGAATCTAGACAAAGTAGAAAAAAGGCTGATTGTTCTTACCTTGCCCGAATCGCAGGTACGAGCTCGTGGGATTAAACCCGCGTCGTGACGTCCTGTAAGGCCCGCCTCAACGTGGGTCATTGAGAGAAGAATTACACATAGGTGTTGGAAAACGTAGGTAAGCTTCATATTGGTAATATGGCGAGGGGGGGGGGGGGGGGAATTGGGCTAGGGAGTCAACGATAGTCCGGTATAAAACACGTCAACTATGCGGCACTGCGCTTTTAAATAATAGATCACTGGAGGATATTAAGCCGTCTAAGGGGCTATTTTAGTGTCAAATTATGAGTGGGAAGTTTAATCTAATTGCATCCATGAGTGAGCATCGTATATATGTTTGATGCTGACGCGTCTTATTTCCCGTCACGGAAGAATAAAGCTTTGGCGAGGAACGCTAACTGAGTAGAGAGGAAACTCTAAGCAATGACTGGCTGGGGGGGCGGCTGATACGAGCTTACTGTGGTGTATGATAGAATTCATGCGTATGTGCCACTAGTAAGGGGGACGATACAGGCCAGGGTTGAGAGTAAGCGCTACTATAGAGAGTATGATCTACACTCTACACACAGTAGAGTCATGAATATTCAGGATTTCTCTGGAATGAATTTGGTATAGTCATCCGAAGAAGTGTCTGTCTTCAATTTAGCGCGTCTTAACACACATAACTTGTGCAATGTCCACAGTAGAAATAGGGTGTCACGAGATTCGACCCCAGAGGACGACCCTCGGGACGGTCTGGTACCGACCACAGCTGTAGAAGTATATAATACCTACGAACTACAAGGACACTCCTTAAGGATTCATCTTAATCCTACTCTTTAGATATATTCTGTGCCTACTCGCGAAACATCTCATATACGGGGGGGGGGGGCTCTGCCTTTGAAGGCGACTTCTTCTAAGTCAGCACCTCTTGCCACTAAAAATTGTCGCACCCACAATTAGAACGTATCTTTGACAAGGTAGTTACCCACGCTACGTAGTGGGCGCAATGTATGCATAAACGGCAATATTCTTCATAGTAACTGTGAAGCTTCTGGTGCCAGTCTACCATGTAACACAGCCTGCAAAAAGAAAAATAGCTACAAAAAAGACTTTTTGGTCAGGATGGGATTGAGAAATATTTACTACCATCATTTCCGCTGGTTCTTATACATTTTGGTAACGACAGTCTTGTGTTTACATAAGAATCTACACTGAGAGTGTAAGAGAAAGATACTCCTTCGCGTCGCGGTAGCTCTCTATTCGAGGTGAAGAGCTAATCACGTTTAGAGCTTGGTCTTGACCCAAGCACCTGCTTCGGTAGAGAAAACATTGAAGTAGCTGGTATGCGCGCTGGGGTCACGGCCTCCAGCACACACATTGTCGCCGGATAGACACCAGGCGCGTAGCACGTTGGAGAAGCGGTTGAGCGAGGTGAGCTGGGTGCCTGTGCGAGGGTTGATCTGTACGCATGTACCTTAGCGAGTGTGTTTTAAAGGGGGTATCTATATGCTATTGCTTGATAGATGACAGAGTGGTCTACTTACGCCGTTAAAGGCGGCACCGGATGCAGAGTTGTATGATTGGTTCGCCGTGTGACGGACGTCACCCCAAAGAAGTGCAGCGCGGACTGCGTGATAAGTTCTCGTTAGCCGACTAGTTCTGGACTATAGGGTTTAGAAAGCTCACTCTTGTTTCCGGGTGAAGTGGAAGGGTTTAGACCGGTGGTAGTAGGGCTGGAGCATCCCAAGCCTGTGTTACCTCCGCCGCCGCCGAGGATATCGCCTACAACTTGAGCACCCTAGATGAAAGATCGAGGTCAGTACTATCATCGCCTTGCTGAATTCAAAGTTACCAGGCCAGGTCAATTGCTAGGTCAGGCACGGTAACCATTGCTTCAAAGTCAAACTAGCCGCCCGGTTGCTTATTACTGCTTGTGAAAAAAGCCACATACCTGCGAGTACCCAGTAAGAACCAACTTCGCATTTGGGCAACGGCTCGCGTAAGCCGTGATCTGGGCAGTTCCGCCAGTAACGCCAGCTGACACTGAGCTGCAGTACGTTGGGCTGGTGCTGGCTGGGTAGGTGATGTCCTCGTAACCGCAGTTGCTGATACCATTGCAAATGGCTGACACCACAGAGCTCTGACGGCCGGGGTACGGCTCGCTGGTGCCACGGGCAAGGAAGACGTGTACGCTATGGCAGGCGGTCTGGCGCTCCTCGACCTTGACCGCCGGGGCAGCAAGTGCAAGGGAGAGAAGGCCGTAAGTAGCGAGGATAGTCGAGGTAAGCATCTTGTCTAAGATGGGAAAGGGCTTGCCTTGGTTGATGGCGAGTTCTGGGAGTGCAAAGAGTTGAGTCGAATTGAGTTCGTCACAGAATTCGATGCTGTTGACGTGGAGACAGATGGGGATTTATTTATACCATATTTCGTCCGAACATAGTCACCTCTTCTAATCATGAAGATAACTGCCGACTGCTTCTAGTCCTGAACACAACTGCCGTTTTCTTAATGTCTTGAGTTATTACCTCTCGGATGTAAGGCTATATGGTGGTTGCATTTAGAGCGCGCTTAGAGAGATGAAAAGAGAAGTTGGGTAATGCAACCTAGCGTATTAGGCAGCACCGCAGTATTGGCGCTCTTACCGATAATGAGGTTAGCCAGTTGACCTTGGGCCTGGGAACGAAACGCATGAGTATTGTAAAGTAGCCAGGCTCCCTGAGGGAGGGTGTGGTCCCACTCCTAGGTTGTGGGTACCCAGGGGTAGTGCCTGAGCAGAGGTACAGTTGCGAGGTAAGAGTCGCTCTTTTCCAAGTACCATGCTTCGTTGAAGTTCGTATGGATTCATCAAGATGACTGGAGGAACTTGAGGCGTAATTGAACGAATCATTCTTCACTGGCGGTAATACACGAAGAACAGAGCACGAAACAGCGTGTTGACAACAGCAATTCGAATGGCCGGCAGTCGAAATAGGCTCGCGTACGTACCAGCAGCTGGGTATGGTGACACTAGCTTCGATTAGGTATGTGAACCTACGAACTTCCGTAATTGGCGAGCATGCACGTCATCTTCCAATCCTAAGATTGACCTCGCGTCGATCTCTGGGTCTAATCCAGGCTCCATCCCCGGGGTCTGGTCACAGGTTTACCCGAAGTTTTACCCCAAGTACGTACAAACGCGAGGCTTTACCGAGGTTTGTCAATAACCCCAGATTTTCCCCTCAATGCATTTAATCATGAAACTTCGCTTTCGACAAAGTTTTTTTCGCACGTGTTAGGCTTGCTGGCTCCAATGTGCCCCTCACTTTTATTCTCTGTAATTAACAAAACGGTTTGAGGGGAAACTGTTCAAGAGGGGGAGGAAATGCTTTTCCGGCTTCATCTAATCGTCAGCACAGATGGGTCGATCGGTTTCTCCGCTTCTTCCGTTTCCACATCCTCAGGGACGTTTGAAACCGAATCATACAGAAAATGGTGTTATGCGGTCTGGAAAGAAGGTGATAGGCACAGGTAGTATTTCCAGGATAGCAAAAGCAACAGCACTAGAATAAGCATTCGTTTACTTTATGTCATTGAGAGTAGCGACGCATTAGTGAACTTCGATCATGTCATTCTCATTCAATCGTAGTCTATAAGCAGCTCGGGGCTACGTAAGGCTTTAGCCAGGGACCATTCTACCTAGGACATGTTTAAATGAGTCTCATCACGTATATATTCCCACTACTGAGCTCCAGCAGTTATCTGTTTGTACTTCCACCTCTAGCAGACGCCTGGAGTTAAAAAGTCAGTTCGGTAAAAAAGACGAGACGTCAGATCGCTAAGTGTTTCTTCCAGCGGGCGCTTAGGGGATTACTAGGAGGCATCATGCACATACCGTGTTTCATAACCGAGTCGCTCACGCATTAGCTAATATCTCGTTTGCCTTTCTTTGCCGTACGTCATATGCATTTCCGCTCTACCTCACTGGGCAACATACAGTCAGCTGAGAAAGCTTAATAAATACTTGACTGTTCGGCTCCAATTATCCTTCCACGTCTGATTTCGCTCGTGATACCATTTATCTAAAAAGGATAAACAGAGAATATTAAAACAATGTTTCCAAAAGGAGTAGAGAAAGAAGATAGGTTGTCAGCCCCTAGTTGCTGTAGATATGCCTTCTTTGGGAGTCCTGGTGATGTCATCATCACCCTTACGATAGAGAATACCCAATATCAAGAAAACCACAAGAGCGCATCTCGTTAAGCGCCAACAGTGTGATTTGATAGCGAAAATCTCTCCGTCTCCCGTAATCACAAATCGATATTCGAACATCTACAACTAATTGCTGTCACTCGGAGAGTATCAAACTCTTTTCTTATCTCATTCAGTTCCCTCAAATCTAACTTCGATTCAACGCATAGCTTTGATATGCAGGATATCTACTTTATACATCTTCTCCCCCCTCCCCCCCCAACCCCAAGCCAAGTCCCTCACTTCAAAAACTTACTAATCAACCCCTTCCCCCCCTTAACAAGATTCTTAACCTCCCTCTTCAAATCCTCCGTCGAATGACCCCCCTGCCTCCCCGGCTCCATGAACCCCCCACCGGCACCTCCTTCCCCCCCACAATGACCCTGCCCCCCACACGTACCCCCGGGGCATCCCTGGATAAAATGCTGAACCTCACCACAACACCTCCCACACTCACCAGACCCCATAAACGGCCCCCCGTTCCCCCATCCCACCCGCATAACCCGTGCTTTTCGTCCTTCCCACCCGGTCTTCGCATCCGTAGCATGGAACACGCCCCAGACCTCTGGCCCACCGGGTCCATTCACGAGGACGAAGTTGCCGTGACCGGGTCCATACGGGGGTGAATCATCGCGCGCAGCTTTGAGGAGGGGGACGTTTGATTTCGCCCAGGAATGCGGATCTAGCGGGTGGCCTCCCGTGTAATACAGGACGTTCATTTTGTACTCGTGCGTCCAGCTGCCTGCGCAGCTATACACGATGCCCATCCAGCGGCCATCGGGGGAAGCGAGGAACTGCGGACCCTCGTTTATGCCGCTGGAGCCGGAGAATTCGAATTGCAAGTCTGGAGTGCTGATGCGGATAGGGTGGCCGGTGCATTCGGTCGGTGATACCATTTCGATAATGAAGATTTCCTGGCGCGACTCGTCGGCTTGGGTGCCGAGGGGCCAGCCAGAATACACGAAGAGCATGGAGCCGTGTAGGTAGATGACTGTGCCGTCGATGGCCCATTGGTCTTCGGGGAGTCCTGCGAGACGGCCGAAGAAATTCCACTTGCTGGGTTCCAAGGGGTCTTCGTCGGAGGGGGGCCCCGCGAGAACGAACATGCGGTGGGATTTGTTGCCGTGCTTTGGGTCGTCGGCAGCAAAATAGACGTACCAGCGTCCTTGGATGGAATGTAGTTCTGGCGCCCAGATATCACCCGAGTAGGGCTGGTTGGGCGGCGGCCGCCATATAACCGTCTTTTTGGAGCGCTCTTCGAAATCGAATAGCGAATCTGCAGACCAAATCTCAACGTGCCCGCCGCACGTAAAGGTCATGTAGTAAGTGCCCTTGTCCCATAGTACATAAGGATCAGCACAGCTTCTCTTTGTGATGGTGAGTATGGAATCGTTGTATGGTGGTCGTTGTCCCTGGTAGATTGGTTGCATTTGCTGGGCCATGTTTGGCGAGATTGAGCTGTGTGGTCGTACTGTTCAGACGTCAATACTACACGTCTTCCGATAGTGAGAAGCAAAAGGAACACATGATAGTGATAATCACAAACAAACAGTCATTAGCACCAAGAGGCTAACATGTCACACGCGTAACACCTGTGTGATGACGTCACTTCGGGCCTTTGATCGTCTTGGATTGCAAGGCAAGTATCAGACAACTTCACCCCATCCGGGCTGTCATGAGGACGGTGTAGCCACAAGTAGTTTAGAAGTTTTCGGTCTAGATGCCTTACGTGAAGGAAAAAGCAGGGTCTCCTCTACCGGTGTGTGGCGTCGTGATGCATGGCGGGGTAGCAAAGCCAAAAGCCACAGGCCACGCGGGGCCAAGCCACGTCCTTGGTCTGGTGTCCCCCCCCCCCACTTGTCCTCTCCATCACGCCATGCTTATTTTTTCAAAAAAAGAGAATATGCCATTAATAAGAAAAAATCCTTGTTCTGATTACTCCATATAATAAAAGCTTTCCCAGCTTGACCTATTCTTCCATCGTGGTATCCCTTTCCCAAGTCCTTTTTCGAGTCCTCCTCATTATGTAGAATACATGTCCCTCTTATCCTTACGGCGACGGCGCAAACATCCCATTACACAGCACAGCTATGCAGCAAAGTAGAAAATCAGGAGAGGAAAGAGAAGGTATCCAGAAGTTGGAGCGAGGACTACATACATAGCGTTGCCCTTGGGGAAAGAAAAAGACTCAACACCATGCGACAACCATGTGTCATGCACAGGAGTTGAAAATGTCTATTTGTGTACAACACACCGGTAATGGCTAATTTTGATTGCCAGTGCGCGGCATTGCATTCAAAGTTCATGTGTGGTTATTTCGGTGATTGGCTACTACAGCTCAGTATTAAGATTTTGCTCGACAGTGAGTTCACCCGCTTCGATGCGGTCGACACGGAGTACGAGTTCCTGTTTCATAATCAGCACATGTACAATCATCACGTTGCTCACAAAAGACGAACCTTGAGGGCCCTTGCAGTCCTGAACGCAAGGGGTGGGATTTTCTCGCGGCCTCCACCTCTAACGTCAACAGCCAGCATGCTTTGCCTGCACTCATCGAGGACTTGAACCACTGGAATGGCGTGCTTCTTCAGAGCGGAATTGGATAGCTGGTTGACGGCATCATAGGTTTTGTTTCCAGTGTCTTCAACTGCCTGTGAAATATCTTGAATGTATTCGTGAATTTGTTGATCATCGGCAGGCGACCCATCTGGGTTGTTGCGTATGAGGGTGACGAGAGGCTGGATACTCTGGACAAGAAGAGCCGTTTGATCTTCAAGATAGTTCTGCTAGCGTCAGTAGGTTGTGGCTACCCATGCCGACTAGGAATGTACCTTGAACTCGAGCATGCCGCCGTCAGGTGCACCGTTTCCGCCGACACTGTGACCATCATAGCCGCTGTAAGGCGAGCTGTATGCGCTGTAGCGGGTAGTGTCGCTGCTACCACCTCTGCTGCTACCACCACGCTGATGGCCAGACTTCATTGTGGTTCCGCCATTCGTGGCTGGAGCGTTGTTTGAGTACACAGCCGGTTTGAGTGGCATAGGCCTATCAGCGTCCTCATCGTCGGCCTCGAGTTCGTCTTCTGGTGTAGGTCGCACCTTGACGTGCTTGACTAGCTCGACAACCGCAGTGGACAGATGACTAGCAGCAGCATCTAGTAGACTAACTGGTGAAAGTCCACCAGAAGCCACATGGTTCTTCGTGGCCGTAATGAGATTGTTGGCCGTAGCGCTGACACGCGACTTTAGCTTTGCCTGTTGCCTCTCTGGATTCGCCAGCATGTCGCCGCTAACACTGCTTGTGGGTGATTGAATTTGCGAAAGCGATGTGTTATCGATGTCACCCGTGATTGCTCGGACACACTTGACAACATGACGCATGCCTTCAAGAGTCTGTTCCGAATTGGCTCTCCTTGCCATCTGGAGCAGCTCGTCAATACTGAGCTGGAACTTGGTTACATGTACATCTTTGACGATTCCATCAGGCGAGGTAAAGGAAGAGTCGCGGGCATAGCCACCTAGGTCGGCTGCTACAAGTTGGGACAGGCCCATGGACGATGCCTTGAGGTTTCGAAGCTGCGTCTTGGTGCGCGCGTATCGTGATTTCCAGTCCTTTAGCTCAGCCTCGAGTGACCGGACTTGATTCGCCATTTGTTCCTCCTTTTCTGCAGCCGCATCACTACGAGCTGACAACTCCTTCATTTCCTGCAGGAACATGGACGCATCTCTTCGGACCTCTTCCGTCACTTGTTGTTGCTCACTTAACTCTCGTTCAAGCTCTTCACACCGTTGTCTCCACTGTCCATCACCGCTATCCGCCGATTGTGGGGGTGGCCTCGATTCGAGGTCGGCAATCTGTGCGCGAAGGTTCTTTTCGATGTCTTCGTTCTCGTTGCGCAGCCTGTCTATCTCCGATCGGAGAGACGAGTTGAGGCTCTCTGCCTCTTCGACTTTTTGCTCCAATGACGAGCGAAGATCATCCCACTCTGCACGGTCAGTCTCCGAGGCACCGACCTGTGTCTTGCCAGCCTGCTCAAGGCGTTCCAATTCTTCGTCCTTGTTTTGTATCGTAGCCTCCAAGGTACCAATTTTGCCCTGCAGTTCTGACACCTGATTCTGGAGATCTTCTACCATTTTTTCCTGGGCCATGTTTATGCTCTTTGCGCTCTTGTTTGTCTGCCGTCTAGCAGCAGCGCCCTCGAGATTGAAGGAATCGTCGTCATCTGCAGCACTGTCATCGTCATCTTCAACCAGAGTACCCTTGTTCGGGACAATCGTATTTGACTGGAACGTTTTGGGCAATGGGCGCCCAAAGGAGCCTGGCTCATTTCCCGAGCCGGGCCGCATTTGTCCCGGCGGTCCTGGAGGTCCTCCTGGAGGTCCGCCCATTGGACCACCCATTGGACCACCCATTGGACCACCCATTGGTCCGCCCATGGGAGGCGGACCTCGATACCCTGGCCCAGGCGGAGGTCGGCCGTTCATACTATTTGGTGTGCCCGCTCTGCTCGAGGGCCCTCTGTTGCTCATGCGACTCTGGACGCTCATGGCTGGGCTTGATGGACGCGGTGGCATCTCGCCTCCGGTGAAGCGGGGGAACCTGCGCTCGAGCTCGTAGAAGACGTCGGTAGCAAGCTGGCGAAAGCGCTCGAGAGGCAGCGTTGATAGCTTTTGTCGCGCCTGGTTGCGTTTGGGGTGGAAGCTGTTCTTGGGGAGGAGGAATTGCGGAGTATCGTTTCCAGGCGCACCGGGTCCTCCGCGCTTGCGATCGGCTTCTCTGCGTATTGACTCGTCGTAGACATCGGTACTGAGTTCCTGGAACTGGACAGACGACAGCCTGGTCAGCTTATCCTTTGCCCTGCTTGGTCGTGGGTTTCCCTTTTCGTCGTTGAGGTAGGGGCCGAGATAGGCCTTGAGGACGTGAAAATGCTCGGCCATGGTGTCCTCGAGGGCCTGCATCTTCCGGCTGTCCATCATGGGGCGCATGCTGTCGTTGAGGCTCGAGGCGTACAAGCCAGTGCCGTCGCTGGAGCGCCCAACAGAGCTGGGCGGTGAGGGGTTTCCATTGCTGGTGCCGGGGCGCATTCCATTCGACATGCCGCCATCAGGGTTGGTTGGGCCGTAGGTGTTTGGGGGGATTGTGGGTGAGTAGGGGTTGTCGCCTGCGATGTTCCGATACCCGTTGATGGGGGACCACTCTTGGCCGTCGGTTGACAGCGGTGACAGGGTGCCACTCCGGGCGTTCATAGTGTTCATCGGGGGCGGCGTCGCACGTGAGACGGCGGGGGCTGACAGCCGTTGGCTAGTGTCGTATCCGTATCGACGGTCCAAAGGCGGTAAAAAAATAAAGAGGGAGAGAGCCGGAGTGGCTGGCGAAGAAGGGTGCAGGTGCAGCTGAAACGGTAGGCGTGGTAGTAGACGAGAGGCGCCGAGGAGGGCAACGAGCGACGATCAGCAAGATAATTAGTAGGCAGTAGATGCAGCAAGGACAAGACGACGACGTAAGTGGGCGGTGGGCCAAGCGGTCAAGCGGCCAACGGGAAAAGGGAATGTGAGAAGCAGGCCGGGTAAAGATCAAGAGAGAGAGATGGCGGCGACGCAGACGCAGACAAGAAGACGACGCAAATGCTGCAGCAGCGGCGGCAACAACAACAAAGCGCACGGCAGCACGAGCATGTGCGAGGCCAGCCAGCCGGGGGTCCACCAGACTTATGAGGCTGGTCTGATGCGTGCAATGACAATGCAAATGTCGGCCGTCGTGCCCCTTTCGTGCCCGTGGGCTTGGCTGCGAAGGGGGAGCGACAGGGCCAGCAGAGGGCCAGCCAGAGCCCAGCAAAAGGTCCAGCCACAGCCCGCCCGGCCAATCACAGTCCGTGAAGCCATGACGCCACTGCTCTGCACCCCCGCGCCACACCCCCGGCCAGCCACGCCAGCGGGAGGCGCGCGTCTATATTACATAGGCCGCTAAAGTATTATGCCATCTGCTAGTTATGCACTTGGCACCATCCTCCGCGCCTTATCGCCCTCTCTCTCTGCTGTATACCTGCCACTACATACTTATACTCCCACAAGAACCCGCTGCACCAGCCCGGTGCCTGGACATTCCCACTCCCGCCCCAGCGGCTGCGCCCTCCTGTCCATTGCACGATCAGCAGCACCAGCGTGTTCGGCCGCTGGGCCTGGCCTGGCCCGGCGATCACGGGCCCCTGTCGCCAGCCCGAGTGGAGACTGCCCCAATTTCCTTTTGTACGGGGGGAACACCGCAACCTGCAATCGCATGGGGGTATAGCAATCATCCGAGTACTCACATACTTATGTACCCTCACTCTCTATCCACATGACCAGCAACAACCACTCGCGCCACTCGGCCACGCGCCCGTGGCTCTCCAATCCTCCACCATCAACGCCTCTCCCGCACGCCCTGGCGGCTGCATCTCTTCTCTATCGATCGCCTCGTGCCTGCACCCCATCCCACATGGCCCCAGTTCCTAGCCGTTGCCAATCTCGATTCTAGCCCCTTTCAACGTGCTCTCTTGATCTTCGTCGGTGCTTGGTTCCGACACTCGGGACACAGCCAGTCCCCCAGCGGCTCCTCCTTGATGCCCACGCACTCCCAGTGAAACCATTGATATCTGCAGTTGTCGTTGTCGCATGCCACCATGTCGCCAAAGCTGACCCGCTGACATGTGCAATATTTGGTGTCGTCCGACTCGTCTTCTTCTGCATCCCCGCCTCCCATGCCCGACATGTCCTCGTCTTCGGTGCCTGCTTCACTTGCTACGCTCTCGTCGTCTGCAGTCGTAGACGGCGACGCTCGGGACCCGCCCTTGCGACGCTTCTTGTTAACACCAGACTTTGCTGTGAGCGCGGCTTTGCGCAACGGTTGCTGTGGTTTTGCCTTCTTCACTGTGAGTGCATGTTTCGGTGGTCTCGGTCCAACGCTGCCTGCCCGGGAACCTGGTGTCGATGGTTTAGGGGTACCTGGCCCGATTGACCCTTGCCGGCCCAAACTCGACGCCGCGGAGGGCAGCGGACCAATACTGCCTGTCGGACGGCGACGCTTGGTGTCGCTGCCCACTGATACTTCTCGCTCTTGTCGGGCACTGGCCTGCATAGCACTTTGAGCGTTGGTGAGCCGTTGCTGGTTCAAGAGCGCCTGCGTCTGCATGTTCTGCAGCGAAGGATTCGTCCTTGAAGTGAGCCCTACGTTAGTCGCGCTGCTCAGTCGTGCAATGGCGGCTGCTTGCGCGAGGTTTGGTGCACCGCCTCCGTGGTTGCCCGACACAGGTAGCAATGGCGTGTTGGCCCCTGTGTTGGTCACTGAGGCTGGCGGGACCAGATTTCCAGGCGAGTCTCTCAACAACGAGGGCATTTGAGGATCTGTAGGTATGGAGCCATCATTTTGCAAATCTCGTAGCTTGATATCTAGACGTTTGACGTGGCGGTCCAACTGTATTCTTGTAAGCAAACCCTCAGTGATGCAGAGGCCAGGAACATACAAGAGCCGCAGCCTTTTCGACCAGCCCAATCTTCTCCTCTTGCAGTATCTGCGCTTTTTCGTAACTAGCAGTGATGACTTTAGAATAACCCGCCTCTTTTGGGTTCTCCACCAAGCTACCATTCAGTTTGATGAATTTCTGAATGCTGCTATCGCGCTGGTGTATCGCAGCGCGCAGCTCTTGGATTTGGTTGTCCTTGGCCTGTACCTCTTCGTACAGGTGGGTAATCTCAGCTGGCAAGTTTGCAACTATGCAACATTAGCAGGTGTCACGCTCCATTTCTCAAGGTAGTCAAGGTTACCATCATGTACAAACTGCTCGAGCACTGTCGCTGCATCCTCTGCGATGGCCATGGCAGATGTTTGAAGATGTGGTGCGGTTGGGGACGCGTTTGTTTGGTGGCAAGAGGAACCTGCGAGGCGACTGTATGCGGCGCACTCGGGGCCTCAAAGAAAGTTCAAACGGGTCAAGAAAAGCCAGATGCGTCTATTGCGACGGTGACCTCGATGAAAATTGATGAGGCGTGGGTGGCCGCGCAGGTGAAAGAGCCACAGGTGCGATGAAAGTGAAAATCGCTCAATACAAAAACCAACGGATGTTGTCTTAACCTCTCACACGATACCCACAGTCCACTTAGGTTGATCAGCCTTTACACACGATTATTCTTCAAATATCGTAAGTCTGGCGAATTGTCATGTGCTGTCGCGGTCGTTGGCGTGGGTTGGATGAACAGGCACAGCTAGCTGACAAAGAGGCTAGGTTCAGCCGGACGCTCGGCAGGATGCAGCAGTACGGCCAATCAGACAACAGCGCCGAAGACGATCCGGTCCTTTCGTCAACGGATAGTGAAGATGGCGACAACGACACCCACGACAACGACTACGACCAAGACAGCGACCAAGACAGCGACTACATCCCAGAAAAAGATACCCCATCGTATAGCACCTCATTCTTCACCACAAATCCTGCTGAGCCAACGCTCCAAACACTTTTAAACGGGCCACAGTGGCAACTGGCCAACCCTTGGGCGCGGCGTGCAGCAAGAGTAGACTATCGTCTGAAGAAGCCTGGGAAACCAAAAACAACAGGCACAGCTAGGAAACAGAAGCGAAAATCCAATGTAAGTAGGTTTTTACTGGTATTACATCTAGGATAGCCTCATGGAGCTTCGATCACGTTTCAAGCTTTGTGACTTCTGGCGCATGCTGACAATCGCAGAAAAGTGCACCCGACAGTAGACCGGTACTGTCCCCTCTTCATGACCCTCAGACTAGTTCAGCCGAGGAATATCCAGCAAAGCGTCTTTCTCCTAACCCTCGGACTCTAGCGCGCTGGGAGAAGCGCCGTGTGGAAGAAAAAAAGTCGCGTTCATTAACTAACAGCACCTTCATCGGGACACAGGACGACTGCAACCGTTGGATTTGGGAGGGTGCTCCAAAACCACGCACCATAGACGAGTTTGACCACAGTACCCTTGGCAGTGCGTCTCAACCATCAAGCAATATGCGGACTCCAGGCTATATCCCGTCCAATGGACCTGCCAACAACATTGTGCAGGAATATCTATCTCCGGACGATGCCTACCCAGCAAGCTTTCAGGACTTCAAGGCGATGACAGATGCTGAGAAGATTGAGGTAATCGCTCGTGAGGCCGAAGAGCATGGGCTGGAGCGACCCAAAGGATGGAATGTCTCGTTTCACTATAATCCGCATGTCGAGTATCATCACTTTGGCAGCTCGCATCCCATGAAACCATGGCGATTGACGCTCACTAAACAACTTGTACTTGCATATGGACTAGAGTACACGATGGATCTTTTTGAGCCACGGCCGGCAAACTTCAACGAACTGGCCATTTTCCATGACCGCGAGTATCTATCATACCTAAGCAAGATTACCCCGCAGAATGCACAGCCTGATGACCCACAGTATATTACGTATGGGTTCGGTGGAGAGTCGAATGATTGTCCAGTGTTTGATGGCCTCTGGAACTACGTATCCCTCTACACTGGTGCTACCTGCAGCGCGACCTGGAATCTGCTCAACAGCCGGTCTGACATTGCCATTAACTGGTCAGGCGGCCTGCACCATGCCAAGAAGAATCTGGCCTCGGGATTCTGCTACGTCAACGATATTGTCATAGCCATCCAACTACTGCTATCACATCACCAGCGGGTGTTGTATATTGACATTGATGTTCACCATGGCGACGGTGTGGAACAGGCATTCGAGTCAACCGACAGAGTATTCACACTTTCATATCACAAGTATGGGATTGATAAGCACGGTTATCCGTTTTTCCCAGGCACGGGAAATATTGACGAGACGGGCCCGACGGACGCCCGAAACCCCGGCAAGGCTCACAGCCTGAACATTCCAATTGATGACGGCATCGATGATGAGCAGTACAAGTGGCTGTTCAAGACTGTTACGAGCGCAGTAATTGAAAAGTACAACCCAACGGCAATCGTGTTACAATCCGGTGCCGACTCTCTGGGCGGAGATCGACTTGGCCGGTTCAATCTTAACATCAAAGCCCATGGCTTTTGCGTGGAGACGGTCAAGGCATATGGCCGCCCGTTGCTCATCATAGGCGGGGGTGGGTATACGCCACGCAACGTCGCCCGGACCTGGTGTCATGAAACTTCAGTGTGCGTCGGTGCGCAACTGCATAACGAGCTTCCAGCCCATGTGCCATACCTGCAAGCATTCCAAGGGGCAGAGAACGGCGACGGGGTGCTATATCCAGACCTACACAACATCAAACGACACGAGAACCTCAACTCTCAGGCCAAGCTACACAAGCTTATTGAGCAGGCGCTTGAGAATCTGAGATACCTAGAGGGAGCGCCTAGCGTAACGGTGGACACGCGGGGAATTTCTCTCGAGGAGATTATGAAGGTCCGGGAGATGATTGACCAGGAGCTGGAGGATGAGGCGGAGGATCGGGCGAGGCTGACCGTGGAGAACAGCAGGCGGAAGAAGGAGAGGAACGTGGGGGGTCGAAACGAGCGGAGGTAGGAGCTCATGATCGGAGTATTGGTCGGGGGATGGCAGTAGACGGATGTCTTGTAGCAAGGTTATGGCGGGGGAGAGTCTGTTTTGGGTAAAGACTGGGGCTTGGAAAGAGGGCACAGCTAAGTATATGACAGGCTTGGCCAGGTAGCACGACAGGGTGATGATGGTGATATTCCAATTGGCCAGAGTTTATTATGGATGACTGCATTTGAAGCCGCCATGGTGAAGGCGATGGTGTTGGTGGATAGGGTGCCAGTGGAGAGCTTCGGGATATCCGGGTCATGGGGTTGAATGTGAGTATGCGTCATTGTTTAGAGGGCGCCAATCGCGGTGGTGGGGCGGGCGGTACATGGATGTCCATGTATGGAAGAATGTCAGTAGACAACATAGTATATATACAAGTAGGTGCTTGGAAGCAGAGACGACATGAGCACGTGGTGGTGAGTCTGGACGTCGGTCGGAGTCTGATGTTGACTCAGCTCCGACAGGCGACTAGGGCAGGGGGTGGTGCCGCCAAAAGTACGGCCGCAAGCAGTCCGGGCGTGTGCATGTCAGAAGCCTCGGGCAATGCACAAAGGGCGTCGTCGTCTGTCAAGGCCGACATCCAACTTCGAACCCCGAAGCTTGGTATTTGGACATGAGTACAATGTCCGACGCGAGACGCCCCAGCCAGGACTCGCCCAATCCAAACCAGCCAAGCCGCACTGCCAACGGCCCCTCTCCCGGCACCGCTCCGACACCGACACCAAACCCCCGGTCGTGCATTACCTGCCGTAGGCGCAAGGTCAAATGTGACAAAAAGAACCCATGCTCCCACTGTGTACGCGCCAAAATCGACTGTGTCTTCCCAGGCCCCGGCCGTGCCCCGAGAAAGAGCAGGAAACCCCCCGATGCTGAGCTGCTCGAGAGACTGCGTCGCCTTGAGGGCGTAGTCACCAGCCTTAATGCCCAAGTCGAGGGCCACGACAGTAACAGCAGTACCAGCAATAACAACGACAATGCCGCCGACCGCCAGAGAGAGCCAACCGCCGCCGCAGCAGCCCAGGACCAGTGCCCGCTGGGGATAACAACGACGACCTCGACCGCCCCCAGCGATGACAGCCTCCAGGGCCTCGAGGCGCGCTTTGGACGGCTCGTGGTTGAGAATGGCCGTAGTCGCTACATCAACAACAGCTTCTGGGCCAGTCTGAACAATGAGGTACGCTGACACGCTTTGTTTTTATTCATTTTTCATTTCACTTTGTACTTGTCGCAGACTAACACAACACTTACTTGCAGGTCGAGAATCTCAAGTCCATCCTCATGGAGCCCTCGGACGACGAAGACGATGCGCATACACCCGAATCCTCAGAACCGTCGTCACAACACCACAGTTTCATCTTCGGCTACAGCTCCTCCAATGTCGACATGCAAGCCCTGCATCCCCCCGAACACCATGTCCGCCAGTTCTGGAACATCTACAAGGAAAATGTAGAACCCCTAGTCAAAGTCTTGCATGTCCCTACCTTTGAACTCACCATCATGAATGCCGCTGCCAATATCGAAAAGGTCAGCAAAAGACTCGAGGCTTGGTTGTTCGTCATCTACTATGGTGCTGTGACCAGCATCACCCCCGCAGAATGTCGTGATATGTTTGGAGAGGAGCGAAGCACGCTTCTCACCAGGTTCTGCTTCGGCATCGAGCAGGCTCTTGCAAGAGCCAACTTTCTCTACTGCGACGAGATTCTCATCCTCCAGGCCTTTGTCGTCTACCTTGTCTTGCTGCGCCGCAACGACGATGCGCGCAAAATCTGGCCATTGACTGGTCTCGTCGTTCGCATCGCCCAAACCCTAGGCATCCACCGAGACGGCACCCACTTTGACCTGCCGCCCTTTGAGGTTGAGATGCGAAGGCGGCTTTGGTGGCAAGTCTGCATCCTCGACGCCAGATCTGCCGAAGATCAGGGGTGTGACCCCAGCATCCATGAGACGCTATTCGACACAAAGATGGTGAGTTCATTTTAGTTCCAAGTGCCACGCATGTATAGCTGCTAACTATTGTCACAGCCTCTTAATGTTAACGACAGTGATATCCACCCTGGAATGATTGAATTCCCCCAAGGCCGGCAAGGCTTCACCGACATGACGTTTTGCTTACTCCGCTTCGAGATTGCAAACATAATGCGCCGCATCATCTACGTACCACCAGGCCCAAACAGGTGCACTCAATTCCTTACAAATCTCACCGTTGAGCAGAAAGAAAAATGGATCACCGGCTGCCACCAGGCCATAGAGGAAAAATACCTCAAGGATTGCGACATGACCATACCACTGTGCTGGGTCACAGCGACAGTATCAAGACTCATCATGAGTAAAATGTGGCTGATTGTCTATCACCCGCATCAGCGCAAGGATGGAGGTGCTACGTTATCACAAGAGATTCGAGACAAGCTCTTCGTCACCTCTCTCGAAAACATAGAATACGGCCTACTACTCGAGACGGAAGCACGCACAATGAAATGGGGCTGGCTCTTCAAAACCTATGTTCAGTGGCATGCCATTGCGTTCTTGCTCTCCGAACTTTGCGTGCGTACCAAAGGCGAGGCTGTAGACCGTGCATGGAGAGCACTGGAAACTTGTGCTACGCGGTGGTGGTTCCCTTTTTCTGAGGACGAGCCACAGCGCAAAGCCCACCATAGCCATATATGGAAGCCACTCGCCAAGTTGCTGGAGAAGGCAAAATTAGCCCGCGAGCGCCAACTAGCCCTCGAGCAAGCCATTTCGTCCTTCCAAAATAGACCGTTTACGAGCGACACATTCGACTTGAAGTCTCCCGAGGCTTTGCAACAGACGGACAGGACTTCTTTTACATCACCTCAACAAAACTCACAGACTTTAGACAACATGCTCCGGCCCGTTGCACCCAAACTTGGCGCCATACCAGGAACTCAGCAACCCAGCTGGCCCAATGGTATGGACATACAGCGTCCTCTACCAGATGAACCAGCAACAGGATTCCGAGATGGCGCACAAGATCTAAGCAATTCAGCACAAGCGTTTAGAAACATTTCAGCATATGGTCTCGACGATGTTATCAACGACGCCATGGCAGGTACACTGCTGGATTTCCCGAGTTACGTTCAAGGTACGGTATCTACGTCTGGAGCTGCGCATCCGAATCTCTCGCAAACTTCTCAGTCCTTATCGGCTGCTGAAGCTTTTGCTACAAACAACGCGCCAACCGCGGCGAATGGATATCGTACTTTTGGTGACGGGATGCTCCCAAACACGACCATGGGCTTCGATATGAATAGTAATGGAGGTCGAGGCATGACAAGTATACGTGGAGCTACGAACGGGCAAGAGATGAACGAAAATGACATCATGGACAATGGTGACGTGGACTGGCCGCTTTGGGACGACATGGTGAATCAACTTGAGGCGGATAACCACATAGCTAATGCTTCCACTAGAACTGGACCGGGAACACTTGGTATGGTGCCATGGTTTTGAGATAGGAGTGTGATGATTCTATGATCATGTTTTGGCGTTTGGAGGATCTACGCTCCATTTTTTTGGTTGTGGATAAATGCGGTGATGATGTTTGTATACCCTCTTTCGTTACAGTGTGTGTTGTGTTTTGTGTACGTAGTACTATTATTACAACGTGTAGGATTCTGAATTAAACATTTCATACTTCTTCTTGTCAACTTTGGCCCACCACCTTGCATGTTAGTTTTTGGCACTTGGCAACGTAAAGGCATTTGAGAAATGAAAGAAAACTCTCTCTCTATCTCTCTTTCGTCACAGATGTAGATTTTAAGAATAATAATGCCTGTCAGCTTGCATTATAACAGGCGACATAAGATGACTTACCCTTTCCCGCCCCGCCAAGCCCCACGAACCCCCCCCCCTCCCCCTCACTTTTCCAACGAAACTCGCAAATAACCCACGTGCATGCAGCAAGCAAGCCTGCACCAGTCTTATCTTCGTCGATATGCTACCACTTGCTAACGTAATGGATGAGCGATCCGCATCTAATTACTACTAGTACCCTCTTTTTTTTGTGTTGGCCCCACGTTCCCATGCTTCCTTGTCCCCCCC